CACTCAAAGCGCTTTACAGGTAATGGGGACTCCCCTCCACCACCACCAATGTGCAGCATCCACCTGGATGATGCGACAGCAGCCATAGTGCGCCAGAATGCTTACCACACATCAGCTATCAGTGGGGAGGAGAGCAGAGTAATGAAGCCAATTCATAGAGGGGGATTATTAGGAGGCCATGATTGTTTTGTTAGTATTGTTGAGCCTGCTTTTACCAGCGGTCAATATGAGAAAGGTTTGGACAGAACTCTGTAACTCACAGAGGTCAAAAGAGCCAAAAATATATATTTTTTTTTTTGGAGTGTTTTCCGCTGGACTAACACAGGCAGAATGGCTTTTCTCATTGAGAGGTAGTTTAGTGGTACTGCAATGATAGATGGTGGAAAAATAATATACAAGATCAAATGTTAATGGAAATGGGACAATTATCTGAATCATAATTCACAGGGAGGATTACTTTTTGGGAGATGTAACAGAGTTGATCAACTATTAGATTCTGTCACCTTCAAGGTTTGTAGGACAAACCTTGATAAAAATCAATAAACTGAATAGCTGTCTATGCTTGATATTATATTATGCTTGATATTAATTATATCACATAATTATTATATTATATTGTATTATGTAAAATGTTATAAAATATGCTGCTCATTTCCTGCTGACTTTGCAATATACTGTCTCCAAGCATATTAATTACATAACCAGACTGCCCTCTAGTGAGAGAACAAAGTTTTTAATTCCCACAGAGACCATTACAGAGCTTTGCTTCTCTAGCCACTAAGATCTTCAGATAGTAGCAGTAAGTCCCAGAATTTCATGCAGTTTAATTTGTAATTATATTGTACAGTTTCCCCAAAACTGAATCAAAATGTGAAATACACAGAAGATTACTGAATTTACCTATACATTCCAGGAGACATTTTATAAATCTTAATCCCTAGAGATTCATTAGTTTAAAGGTTCTTAAGACTCTTGATTTCAATGGCCCTTATTTTGCACTGTGTTAGCCTCTGCTTATATCTTAACTGATGACATAATTCCTTTGTCCCCTCAGACCTACAGTGCAGGTCCTCTCTTCATTTGTGTGTGGCCTCTGCAGTACAAACCTCTCCCTACTGCTCCGCAGGTCTGTGCAGCTGAATGGGGAGCCCTTGGTCATGGTGGATGACGAGACATTCCCGGATCTGAAACCACGGACACTTCGGCCAGGCCGGATGATAGCCTTGCCACCCATGGCTATTGGCTTCTACGTCATCAAGAATGTCAATGCGTATGCCTGCCGCAGATAGCCAGCACCCTTTGAGACCTCAGTTGCACCCTGAGACCCACCTTCACACACTGACAATCAGTGTGCTTCCAACAACATCAAGGGAGTATTTCTTTAATGTGTCAGGAAAAGGCTGATCTCCTATAAAAAGGGGTTGCACTGATTGCCTTTTGAGTATTTTTGTCTTCCTATTATGATGAGACTCTCCTGGTCTTCATTTAAGCTTTTATTTTTGTGTGTTGTTTGATTTTTAACATGTCAGGATATGTCTTACAAGTTTTCACCCTGTCATGAGTTGGATTTGTTGTGAATCAGTATAATATTTTTTTCACGCATGGCTCTGTGCAGAAATGCTGTCCTGGACATAGGATAGTCAGGCTCCCACACAACTACTATGCAATTTGGTTAAAAATCAACCATTATGTAAATTATCTTACTATAACAGTATAAATACAACCTGCACTGCTTCAAATTCTGTACTACACAGACACACACTAACATGTTCCAAAACAAACTATTTTAATTTCCACCAAATGCAAAAAAATACTATTACTCAATTTGAGTCTAATTGGATATGTTTGTTTTGGGCATGATACAATGATACATGATACAAGAGCAGACAGCAGAGAAACAGGCAGAAAGTCTAAGGCCTAGAAATGATTTGGTCTTGGTAATACTCTTTGCCCTGATGTTATACAGTAAATTCCAGGGAGTAGTTAGAAAATAGCCATAACTTTAGTTAGGTTAAAGGTTTTTAAAATAGTTCCCACATCTATCTCTGATTAAAGGGTATTACTAAAAATACTCGTGCCTCTTTTAAAGAAAATATCTTAACTTATCTATGGGTCTGCACTGTATGAGGTTATCTTATTTTACATATAATTCTCACACTCAGTCTGTAAAGAGAATTTGGAGGAATTTATTCCAACTTTAAACTTAAACTGACCACAAGACATGGGGACAGAAAAAAAGGGAGATAGGCAGAGTTTTAAAAACTGTTCAAATCCTGTTACACTTTGCTTACAAGGAGACAAAATAATGACACCTACAGTATAAAGCAATTTCAGATTGTTGCAAAAGAAAAGACGTTCCGTTTCATTTAATTGTTTCTGATTGCATTTGTTTTGTTTCTTTTACAGGAAACATGCTTTAATAATCAGAGTTGAGGGACTGGGTGACAACGAAATGTAGAGTTTCCAAAAGATATGGGGGAACCCTTTTGCTCTGTAGGTAAAGACTGAGACACTGGAGGGAAATTGAGCCAACTGCACAATTCAGATGCAATGTGGTTGTACATACAGATCAGACTGAAAAACTGGGATACTGGGTGTATCAGTACCAGAAGGCAGAGCTGGGGTACTAGGAGGAAGTATGGCTCAGCTGTAAGAGTCAAGGCAGCAGGAGCTAGGAGATGGTTTTCCTGTGCTTTTCAGAACTGCCCTCTCTCTCTGCCCTTAAAATGCATTGCTCTTTAATACCTTAGTTTGACCAATTCTTTGTTTTCTTTTCTAATGTTGTAAATGTTTTTTTCTTAAATTATATTTTCATGATGAAAAAGCAGAAAGAATATCTAAATAAATATATTTTATATGTTTGTGTTAACCACAACAGCAAAAGGCTACCAACAGAGCTCAGGTATTTAAGGTCACACAGTAGTCCAGGAGTTCTGAAATGAGGGCATTTTATCACAGCTTTAACTGTTACTTGTCAACATGCCCAACTCACTGTTGTTTCCTAGACTGGCTAAATACATGCAGTCTTTTGTAATACAGCTGATGCTACAAAAACAAAATGTGGCAAATATTAAATATGTAAAGTCTAATTCTTATATATAGATTCTAAACATATGAACTGTGTACATAAATCATGGACAGTATACAAATCTTTTGCTATAATGTTTATGAAATGTTTATTTACATTTTCTTTGAACTATATTAAATTACAGGTGGCCTATCTGTATGTGAGTAATTGTTATTCAAAAGGGTTTTCAAATAAATCTTTCAAACTTTACATAATTGTATTTTTCCAGTATTTGTGGTACAGTAGTTTTAGTTTTTTTTATTTTCACATTCTTGTTTGCCTGCCTGATCTGATTAAAACTATAAAGCATTAAAAAGCTGTGATAAAACAAGTACCTTCATACAACCATAGTACAACTAATATAGCAGTAAATCAATTTTATGTTCATTTCTTTTTTTTAAAGTCACATAACAGGCTATGTACATGCATTTGTGTTAATGGCAGGTTGTCAATTTGATTATATTCATTCTATAATAAGTCCTGTCTAAACCTGACAATCTTGAAATCTGTTCTGTAGTTGATGTATCCTAAAATAAGAAAAAGTACCCCAAAATGTGTTTGACTTAATGATGCACCTGTAGTCATAGAACCCTCCTGCTGCACCCCGTTTGAAGATTAGAGCTTGTCCACCTAACACCTGAGCTGTGCTGGTGTCTGAGCTGCTTTACTGATACAGGCCTGTGTCCTTTCACTCTGAATGTGTGTGGATTGTTTATTTGAAGTTGTTCATATTTTCTTTTGAAAGAACATTATTTTATTTTGAAAATTTTATAAGACTGAACACTATTTTTTACAAATTTATGCAGTAATAAAAAAGAAATGTAATGACTTATTGTTCTTTTCTTAAGCCTATGTCCACAATTAAAAGCAACAATAGAATTTACTAATTTTAAAATGTTATCAGAGCCAGCAGAGATATTTTGCATTGTTTTCAGTCCTTTATAAAGACTTACTGAGTTATAACATGGTAAAAAAAAATAATAATACAGTAGATTTATAGTACAGAAAACAGTCATACAACTAATAGAAAACATGGAAATGCTACATGATTGTGTGATAAATTATTTTAAAAAATACTGTGCAAATCTAAACGATAAACTCCAAAATGTCAAAGCAGATATTATACAGTATATCAACCTCCTAGAAATAATTTAACTTCCTAATATCATTGTCACTCAGGAGGGTCTTCTGCTGTGTACTGTGTGATGACATGACAATGTTCTTTACTATTGAAGATATGAAAAATGAACTTCTCTGGGGTCCTTGATGCATTTACTTGGTAATTGTGAAGATGCACATTCTGCTCCCTTGTACTATTACAATGTAAGAAAGAATTTGCCATTTTCATTGAGAGCAATTGCCAACACTAGTTTGCAATCTAGTCAAGGTTTGAACATTAGAAATAGACTTGTTACTAAAAGTTTCCCATGTAAAGAAAGATGGTCAGACAGTAAAATGTTTCTCAGGATAGTTTTAAAGGTTTTGACTGATTTTGTAAAAAAAAACAATGGACTTCCCTCAGGCATACTCAAAGTAGGAAATTTAGAAAGGGTTCATGCATAGGAGTCGACAACAGGAGAAAGCCAGCAGAGAAGAAGCTGTGCAGGGGAGAGATGAAAGAAGCTGGGATGTGTGTGATTTACACCTGTGCTATGGTAGTACTGGGAGGGGGGGGGGCAGAGGATAAGGAGAACAGAGAAATAAATTGTGAATTAGAAATTCAAGCCCTGGATTCATGTCCCTCCAGGTTAGGAGAGCAGATCAGCTGACATGCCTTCAAAGTGCCGCGTGTCTGCTGGACCCATGCTGGCGAGATCACAAGGGAGAGGAGCTGATCCAGCCAGTTGGGGTGGAGTGGGGCCCAGCAGATGTTCCCAGCAGCTGGGTGCAGGCTTTGTTGTGGGCAACAGCAGGATTGTCTTGTCAGGTCAATGTCGTGTAGTAGTTCTTGATGGAAAACATTCGTGCCTGGTAAACCCTGCGGCTATGTACAGCTTTCCCAAGGTCTGGCATTAGCAAGGGCAGGGTAATCCACACCAGCTTCTCTGCAGTGTTTTGGGATGGGGGAACAGGTTTAAGTGGAAGAAAGAGAGGCCCCGAAGAAAAATGGAGAGTATTCAACAACTACAAAACTCTGGACGCTCCAACCTCCAAAGTGTTTCCGCAGGTAACTGTCTGTGATAGAGAGTACAATTGTACCTGACTGTTAAACTTGGGGATAAAAAATACAGGGTTTCAAAACAGGCCAAATCCATGTGCTTTCAGTGTGTTTGGGCCCTGTTCTAAATAATTCCCCACTGATTTCCTCCATAGCACTGATAACCATAAGGCAGTGTGCTCTGGTCATGCTGAGTGCAATCAGTTAATTTCAACATGATAAATCTGATTGGCCTAAAAAAGTCTGCATTTAAATGCATTTTAAGTTAGCAATCAAGGTCAAAATCAATGTTAGTCACTATCTAAAAAGAACAACATTTTGAGGCACCCTATTGCACTGACCAAGCATCTCTCAGTGGAGTTCTACAGCTGCCAAGTACAGTTTGTGGTCTGCCTGCAGGAATATCAACATCCTTACACATAACCTGATCCTGATTATTAAATATTAGTAAAAACGCAGCAATATGATGCAGACAAAAATAGATAGAAAGTCACTGGACTGATATCACTGTCCCTGTGGTCCAGAAGTATAATATTTTTTTCCTAGTTTTCCTTTCAGCTTCTTTTGACCATCACCAATGAGCCATCAAGAATACCCTTACTTTACCCATTTGGTATACATTAATCCATTTTCCTAACCACTTCCTCCCATTCAAGGTTGTGGGAGAGCTGGAGTCCATTTCCGCAAACAATGGGCACAGGGGATGGTATGCCAGTCCATCACAGGTTAGACACAAAGACATAAACACAGAGAGGCACACATTCACAGCTAGGGCCAATTTTCCCAGAAGCCAATTAACCTACCAGTATGTCTTTGGACTGTGGTAAGAAACTGTAGCGTCCGGAGGAAACCCACATGAACACAGGGTGAACATAGGAACTCCATGTAATTAGCACCCCTCAAATCCTGGAATTGAACCCAATGCCCTACAAATGTGAGACAGGAATGCTAACCACTGTGCCACTATGCTGCCCCCACTTAGTGCCCTTATATAATATGTAAACCATTATATGTCACTGCAAGCACAATGTCCTGTTGCAGGCAACATGTCCCATGTTTCACCATAGCTGGGCTGTGGGCTCATGTTTAGATTTCTTACCTCTTACCTAAAGACTAACTGTCTCCAGTCATTAAGAGTCACAACTTGTCTTAAGATCCAGGAGCTGAAAAATATACTGCATTTCCTTTTTCTTTCTTTTTTGTGATTGCATTCATTTTCTTCATACGATTAGGCATGATGAACTCCAGCCTAGTGGTCTGTACAGAGTCAAGCTACCTTTGCGTGACAAGCTCCCCTAAAACAGGCTAACCGTAACCAAACCTAGCGTGAAGTTGTTTATATCGGGTGACCATTTAGAGCATGCAGGCCTCTTCCCTCTAGCCAAGATGGAGTTTTTCATGATGTTTATACAGTGTTTACAGTAGTCTGTTTCAATAAGATCTCTTACATACCAATCCCCCCCTCCCCATACTGATCGAGCTGTAGATTACTATTTGCCTAGTGATTCTGCTAACCTGTTTGGTGGAGCTGACATCCTGACTAAATCAGGAGATACATATTTATTTAGAGATGGGAAAAGGATAACTGGGGAGTCAGTCTCCAGGCATATCCAGTCTGTGGCATCCTTCATGAATGTCTAATGCTAATTGCATTACCTGCTTGCTTTGAAGCACTGAGCACATTAGAACACAGACCTTCAAACGAGAAGCTGGTTTTTTTTTAAAGCCTTTTCTACAATGGTAAGACCTGTTTTCCACATCTCAGCAAATATTAAGGCACTGGGAAGGCAGATTTATTGTAATAACATATATAATATATTTTGCAAAAGTAACAATGCTTCAAAAACTAAAACTTTTTTTAATTCTACATTCCTAATTTAAAGACCAACTCTACTCCTAAGACTTTCAGAGCTGAGGGCAGATCAGACAATGATAAGAAAAGCATTGCTGACAGTACAATCCTCTCAGAGTTTTGTAATGTTCACTTCTGCAGGTCTGGGTTCCATTGCTAAGAACGTGGTCTGACAGTGCAAAGCAAAGGCACAATCAAATCACCCAGTAGTTTAAGATAGCTGGCAGAGGATGAAGTACTGAGTAATTTGTGAATGTCGGGCTAAGCACTGACCCTATGAATCACTACCAGGTCAATTAGCATGGCATTTTGAGGATTCTACTATGCTCCTCATTATACAGTTTGCATGGTTAGCATCATGGCTCACCACACCTCTGAAGACTTCATCACAAATTTGCTGAGATTTCACAGACCTTGTATCTTTTACTATGTCCTTCCAATATGAGCGTTTGTAAAGGCAAACTCATAGGCCACCTTCCCTTTTCCCTTCTGGGAAACTGGCAGACTTAATGGCAAATACATATTGTAACGCATACGGCCATCAGGGTGTGTAAGAGCCGGCTTACCAGAGAAGGTGACGTCACCGCCCTTCCCTGTGATAGCAGGACTACAGCTACTGGGCTGCAGGGAGATCTCTCTTTAGCTCACCGGGCTGGGTCCCTGTTGAGTGACATGGGTAGTCCTGGGTTCAAGCCCCTGATGGTGTGGGGCTAACCTAATGCAGCATGGGTGCCCACCTGAACCCCTGTTGTGTTACAATATCATGGGATACTGGTCTGTAGGTTGTAACAGGAGAAAGTGAGCACCAGTGGCATACTACCCTACACAAGATTTGTTTTCACAACCAGAAGATTGCAGAAACTGGCTTTAAGATTTGATTGGCCATTTGCACTTTTTGCCTCGCAGGTCTAGGGTCCTGGGTTAAATTCCAGATTGGGGTGCCTTCAGCGTGTGAATAGACATACTGTAATTGAAAGCAAAGCTCTTGTTCTAATAAAAAAGCCAAACTAAATACACATACCAATTGAATTAGTGGAAATGCACATTCAATTTAATGTAAAGGTTTCACAGACTTTTCCATTACAACGTATAAAACAATTAATGAATTAAAAGGTTTTGGCCATTCAGAGTGCTCTCCTGTAGGTGAAAAATTGCGCCAGAGTTTTCAACACCTGAACGAAAAAATGACAGAATATTCAACAAATACGAAGACTTGAGTACTGTACTCCCGTTGTCAAGCAAGACCCACTCGAAAGTCGAGTTAGGACCACTCTTAACAGCTTGAATAACAGATGACAGTGCAGCTTTAAAAAAAGTAAACTCTCTTGTGTGGAAACAGGGTAGAAGCAGCCTTGCGTGTGTGCAAATGTCACATGACATTCAGCCTGTTTCGGAAGTGGAGCAGAAAGAGCTCAAACGTTCAGGGGTGAGCTGAGACGGATGTAGCGAATTCCAAAAAAAAGCTTACCCTACGGAAACTAAACCCGTACAAACATTGTATTTAGAGCAGAGGTCTAATTTAAGAAGACATGGGACTGTACTGACGTCGAGATTGCAACCCCAAAGGCGTAAGTTACCTGGAAGAAACGAAATCGTGCATCGTAACTCCAGAAAACACAGCGCTTCGTGACTTAAAGGAAACAAGTTGCAATAACTTCGTTCCGAAAAGCTGCAAAGATGCGGCAACTCATTCCTTTGTCTTAAAATAGGCCTAAATCATTGATTTGAATCTAGTTATTTTTCGTCCTCTCTCACGCGCTTCATCACATGACCGGGTTAAACATGCAATTTGTACCTCGGAGATTACGAACCTCGGGTAGCGTTTGAGACATTTCTCACTGAAACACATAGTTAAACTGATTCGTTTCGAGTTCCGCTTATTGCAGCAACAGGTTCGTTTTAAAATGAAGCAGTGATGAACCATTAGCAAATTAGTTGATATCTGTGAAACGTGAATTTCAAACCAAGAGTTTTAATAATGAGATCAACGTTTTCCGAAAAGGAGGGCAAAGTAGATTCCGATGCTCCTTAAAACAGTACAATATGGGTATATCTTGAAAGCCGTGTAATACTGAGCCGTTCTACCCACATTCTTAGTTGTGAGTTGATAAGCATAAAGTGACGGAGGGCAACAGCTAGCGTACTGCAAAGATGGAAGTAGCTCTTATTTCTGTCTTCTGATGGGATTGTCAGCAGTTTTTTTTTAATTACAAACTAATGTCTAAGCATGTGGTTTCATACAGTACGTTATACGGTAAAAGTGTGTCTGCTGAAGCAGAATTGTCACTTTTGTGAAATATTGTGTATGTCCATGAATCTGAAAGAGATAATAGACCTTTTTAAGTGTTTAAAAAAACTTCTGTATAACACTACATTCTCTAACTGACTGTACACCTCTGAACATCTGTCCCACAGACGCCTCTTCTCCCTGACTAGTGGGATTGCCGGCTGCCCTCCCTCACATGAAGTGCCTGCTGGTCGTCAGTGAGAGTGCTGAGGTTCTGTTCTACTGGACCGACCCAGACTTTGAGCAGAACATTCGTGAGCAGTATGGAGTCACTCTGCAGGAGGGGGAGAGGGTGAGACACTGTCCTGCAACAGTATGCCATAGTTGGTCAGGTTTCAGGAAAGCATGATAAGCTATCTTACTTAAAGAGACATCGGTGATATAAGCCCCTTTCTGTCTGTGAGCCTTACACCCACAGACCCCAGTGGGGTATTTTGCTGTGGCAAATGTGTAGTTTGCTGTGAGGTTGGATGTCCCTTGTCAAGTAGAAATACTGTACTGACTAGGCACTGTATATGTATGTTCATATTGTGGCATTGGATATAGTTCTGCAGTGTATACTTTTTCATCAGGGTATTTTAGAACATGTAAAAGCATACAAAACTCTCTCAGCTGGAGTAGCAGACAGCCCTACAAACCGGTACCTCTCTGGAACGTTACTTTGGGAAATCAGCATCCTCAGAGGACTATGAAACAGGCTTTGTGTCTTAAGGCCTATTTACCTACTTCAGATTAAAGTGTATGCGGGGGAGGGGGTTTCCAGGAGTTCTGTGTTTTCAGCAGTTGCTGTATTTGTTACGATAAGGTGCTTATTGTACAGTATGTCTGCAGCAGTTGCCATAGTGTGAAGTGAGATCTGCCAGTATCCGAGTCAGGCTGTGAGGCACAATGCTTGTGATGTTACAGGATCTCTTGGTTTAATCGTTAAACTATCATAACGCATCATTTCTGTTCAGAACATGGCATGTGCCGGTATGTGATATGACAGTAGAGAAGTGTGTACACCCCTGAAATGGTTCTTGCTACTGTACCCTAGCCCCCTGCTTTTGAAGACAGTATCAACACTGTGTTCGCTCCGCTCATCATCTCCTGCAGCACCATGATCGAGAAGATTGGGGACACCTACTCTTCCTTCAGCACAGAGAACGGGCACCTCTACATTCTCCACCAGGTACTGCGGAAGCCTGGGGCAGGGGCTGGGCTGAGCGGGGAATGGGCTTCGCAGCCCAACAGCAGTAGTTTCTCCATCACAGCTGGGGGGAGTGGCCTGTGAACAGGCTCGTTCCATACAAAAACCATGAAAAATGTCGGTTTGGACCTCACCTTTTCAGTTTTAAGAATAATTCCCATGCTCATGGAAAAGTAGTGGTTTTCAGTCCTGAATGGATCAGGAGACAGGTGCTCAGCGTTGACCCAGTTTGGACACCCTGCCTTATCATTAGACATCCATAGTCTTACCATGGATAAACACAGAAGGCTGATTTTTGTATCGCTTTAGAGCTTATTAACAGTTTTCTAATACATGTTACAATTTTTACCTTTGACCTCCATTGTTTCAACATGTACAAGACTCAGATTTTATATGTTTTGATTTCTGTCGTAGAGTAGACCCATGCATATATCTCCTGAAGTGTTTGTTATGTACCCACTATTGGCTGAGGAAGGAAAAATTCATTATTATGCTTCAATGATGCATTTATTGTTCTGTCAATTATCAGCACGAAAGAACACATAGAAATAACATAATGTTTTCTTATTTGCTTCTGGGCACATTTCCCTATAAAGCAGAAAATGAATTAAACAATTCTTCACTAAGTGTAGTGTAAGCACAACCTTGGGCAAATGTGTACACCTGCTCTCACTCTAAGTTCAAATTGTTGGTATGGAACAATTCAGTTTCGGAAATCGTTAGGAAATGTGCAGTGTGGTTTTGTTGAAAGCTTTCTTTGCACTGGATGGAAACATGCTTTGTGAAGCTGCCGTGCTGTTGTTGCTGTGTTCCAGTTTGGGGAGTGCCTGTACATTGCTGTCAATGGAGACGGGGAGGAGAGCGAGGAGGACCTGAGGAGGAAGATCTATGTGATGAGAAAGTTGACGGAGGTGCACTTTGGGATGGTGACACTCAGTGGCACTCTCCTGAGGAAAGAGTAAGGAGTGTCTGCTACTGGAGGTCTCTGCAAGTCAGCTAGAACAGCAGCGGCCACCTCTGGCACTGCTCTTTAGTTATTAAGTGGTGTTAAGCAGCAGGAGCAGCTTAGTAGGTGTGTTAATTAAGTGAATAAAATGCTGGCCAGGCTGAATTCTGCCCTGGAGAGTAGATGAAGATGAAAGATACTGAGACTGTACCCTACAAATAACTTTTGAAAGTTGATCAGTTGTAATGCAGATCTTTCCAATAATGTTTGTTTTGGAGCAGGGATCTTCAAAGAAAATGGAAGAACATATCCCCTCAGAAAGTCCGAAATCCCTACCTGACGTAATAGTCCTCAAGCTTAGTCTGGACTTAGATAATGTAGTACGTTACCACTTGTTATATAAGCTCTGAATGTCAACTAAACTAATTGTAGGTTATATGTATTTTTGTATATCTTTAACATTTCTATGTCCCTAAAGATCTGTGATTGTTGATATTTTTGTCTTACTTGTTTTTTTCATGTTTTTGATAGATTGCGTCCTCAGGACACAGCACAACGTAACCGTCTCTGGAAGATGATGCAGAGCCTTTTGGAAACGTACAGCCGTTTACGAATGGAGGACCAAAGCTTTCTTGTAGAGGTATTAGTCCGTGTTAGACAGAGAGCTTTCACTCAACTTAGTTTCACTCAACTCAGTTTCAAAAAACATTTGTTTTATTTTTCGTGGAGCTTTTAAAGTATGAGGGAAGGTCTGAAGGACATGATTACTGGGAGCATTGTGGGATACGTGCTGCAGAATTCTGGGAACCTTTCAGCGGCCTCTGTTCTTCAGTCCGTCTCTCTACCTTCATTCTTCTCAGTCTTCCCGTCACATCTTGTTTCACCAGGCTTTCCCTCTGTGCTCTGTCTCCCTCCTTCCCTCAGGCAGTGGAGAGGCTGATTCACCCGGCTCTGTGCGAGCAGTGCATCGAGTTCCTGGAGCGCCGGCTGGTGCAGCAGATCAACAGCAGCGTGGAGCGGGCCGGCGAGGAGGTGTTGCACGCCTTCATCCTGGTGCAGACCAAGCTGCTGGCCTTCTACTCCAGGTACGGCCTCCCGCGTCTGGCCGAGAAGCGTCGAGCGACGGCCAGCAAAGGGGGCGAGCTGCTCATCGGGTGGTTCAGGTCCCTGAAAGAGACGAGTGTTTCTGATGATGTCGAACGGATTTATCCGAGCTGGTCTGTTTCTCCTCTGCAGCCGGAACGCCAGTACAGTGAAGCCGTCTGACCTGCTGGCCTTGATGCTGATAGTGCAGAACCTGTATCCTATCAACACGGATCTGGAGGACACTGCCTCAGAGGTAGGCCAAGCCCAGTCCGGACACAAGCAAGGTGTCGTTGAAAACCAAAGTGTCGCGTTACCAGAGTTACCCTCTAGTCTTGTTAACTTGTTTTTTTTTTGTATAATAGGTGAGAAATCTAAACAGCTTTCTACAGTATGTGCCTTGTGCTTTGCCATTCCAACCTTTGCCTTGGAATGGCTGTAAGAAGACCGTTAGCTCCCTGTCTTCAGGAAGAACTGAGGTCAAAAATGAATTTGGGATTTTTTTTTACCCAATTGGTTTGGGAGTTTTTTTACAAAGAGGCTAGAGGGCAGAGAGGACCATCTGTGCCAGAGTGTGTAAATAGAGTAGGCGTGTTTGTACATTCAGAGGCTAATGTCTGGGTGATCTGTGCTCAGGAGGTGGAAAGCAGTTCTGTACCAGAGGTCTTCTACACCCCAGAACATTCCCCAGGTGGCAGCAATACAGGTACACCTTTCTCTGCAAAATTACTTTCCTCTGAAACGTAATAAACTGTTGGGATGCCGCTGTAATGCGTATTGTTGAGGCTGCTCGGGGTCTGTGGGTGCTGTGGGCCGAGGCTGGGGGCCGCCCTGTTGACCCGTGGCTACTCTCTCACAGCAGGCTCAGCGGGGAGGGACCCGGAGAACGCTCCCGTCTTCCAGTTTGTGGACCCCGATATCCAGGTAAGCTCGGCTAACCCTGCCCTCCAGGCCGTCTCGTTGTGTGGCCCCGTTTCCTGGTCATCTCCTGTTCTGCAGTATTTCAGCTGCCCTCGTTTCAAGGGCTCCGCTGTGATTGCAGATGGCGGAGGACAGCCTGAGGACCCTAGAAGCTCCACCTCCCGACCCTTCAGCCCCTCGCAGGGTCTTCCTGGAAGCCACCTTCAGAGAGGGCTACTGCTCCATGATGCCTCACTCCATGTATTGCCGGCCGCTCTGGCCCGGCCTCTCGCTGGTGCTGCTTACGAAGGTCAGGCTTGCGCGCGTCTGCTCGTTCCTTCCCGTGTCCGTAGTCGCTCTGCCAGCCTGCGTGCTGAATTGCACCTTTTCTTTCCGCTGATAAAGACGTGCTTGCAGGTGACGGGAAAAAAAACATTTAAAAAAAATTTTAAAAAACATATTTGTGGGGTGCTCTTCATTTAATTAAGCATATTAACACCATGTGTATTAGTGACGGCATGCTTTTGGTTTCGCTACATAGTCAAAATGACTAAAACAAAATTTGGTTTGGTTCTTTGGAGGGAAAATAGATCCGTCTCTCAAGTTTCACGGATGTCCACAAGGTGGCAGCAGTTAATTAAAGTGTTTGTTTTTTACCTTCGTAAAAGAATGTCACATTGCTAGAGCATTTTAAAATTGCAAGTAAAATGATTTACTTGTAGCACAAATAAAACAGTTAAGTGGCCTCTTTTGTTTTCTAAATGTTTTGAACAGGAGTAGAAGAGAAAAAATGTTTCTTTCATATCCACCACTTGATAGGGTTGTGAACAGCACATGAATAGACTCCATTTGACCCATGGTGAAAATGGGAAATAAGTTACAAACTTCTTGGGATTAACTAGGCAGAGAAGTTTTATTTTACTGTGTTTGCTTTCCTGTAGTTGTGTAGTTTTGCCATAAGCAAAACTTATTCGAATCCAGACTGAAGACCTATTGCTTCAGCCTAGCCTACTCACACCTTACATTATAGCCTGCTGCAATCATTGCTGCTGGTGCTGCTGTACATGCCATTGTGTGTCTCTATGTTGGCCCACCAGGTAGATACATCTGTTCTGACCAAACTATCCTATTCTCCTCCCCACATGTCTGGATGGCGCCCGGGCTGGGCACCATCTGAGCTGGATTCTGCATCACTGCCATGGATCCAAGAGGGACATCATGGATATAGCTATCGTTTTGGAGGAATTTACTGGTCTACAGAGATCTTCATGGAGTGCAAACACACAGAAGACATGATGGATGGATGGATTAATACCCTCATTCATTTATTTCCTTTTTTTAAAATTATATATTGTTAGCATGCCCAAAGGGGTTGACCTTGGACAACCAGTTGACCTTGGACCCCCAGAGTTTTTTTTTCTTCTCATTACTAAGGAGTTTTTGGTTCCTCTCCTCCGTTGTCTTCTGGTCTTCTATTCTGTATTGCCGAAATGTATGGTCACTTGCGTTGTTAAGCGCCTTGGGGCAACCTTGTTGTGAAAGGCGCTATATAAAAACAAATTGAATTGAATAAGGATTGATTCGACTCCAAAGCTCTGTGTGTGCAGAACAGATTCCAGCCCGGGTAACAGCCAGAATACAGTCTCGTCTGCATATTTATTTCTCCATTGCATTTAGATCTTCACTTGAGGCTGCAATGGACAGTTGATATTGATTTTCTTCTATGGCGTCTTCTGCAGATTCCCAACAGCCAGGTGGCGATCCAAGTCTACTACTTCTTGGAGCACTTCACCTCCCTGGAAAAAAAGCTGAGCGAGGAGCCGGAGGGCAGCGTGCTCTCCCGCACGCTGTCCGCACTGCTGGAGCTCCGGGGCAAGCTGGACAAGTTTGTCCGGGCTCTGAACGGCAGCGACATCCAGGTCAGAGTCCTGGGCCGGCAGGGGCTGGCGTCGATAGAGAAAAGGAATCTCCTGAGTGTGGGAAAAGTTGCAGTCAAGGATCTTGTCTGAAACAAAGATCGCTTGTTTTTTAACTGCAGAACACCAAACACCCGTTGTCCATTGTTGTTTCAGTTTTCACAGCTGCAGAACACCTGGACAGAGTTTAAGAGCAAGGCGTTCTCAAGAGGAGGCCCGGTGAACAGTAGGGAGTGAGTAAAATGTCTGTCCTTTCCAGCGGTAATCGATAGGCAGCACACGAGGGGACCTGCCAGGCTGGCTTCGGCTCTGAAAGATGTCAGATTAGGAAGCAACAGCCCCACCCCCACCCCCAGAAACTCAACACTTAAAAAACATCCCTACTCTTTTCTTGAATGTGTTCCACCAGCCGCTTTATTGTTGAGCTGAGAGTGTGTTTATTCCCCATCCTGTGATCTCCCTCCTCTTATGACATGACTTCTTCCAGATACAAAATAATTGTGACTCATTACTTTTACGTTTTTCAAGAATACAATGGATGAAAACGGAATCGAGATGCAGACATTCTTGTCGCACAACCCAGAAACGCTAGTTGTTGTACCGTACTCTTGACTGCCTTAATCTAAGCCCCTGCCGGTCTGGCGTGTCGAGCGCGTGTGAAAATGGCTGCCGCGAGGCCGAGCGCCCCCCCGGAGATGGAAACGGAGGGTCAAGCTCGGCTGTGTCTCCCCAGGCTGCTGCCGCCCTGCCGCGCCGTGAAGAAGCAGCTGTGCGCCGTCTACAGGCAGTACTTCCTGGCAGAGCAGGCGGGGAGAGCGCAGCGCCTGTCTCCGAGCCTGCAGGAGAAGGCCTTGGCCATGGTGCAGTATGTAGCCTCCCCCTCTTTACTTTCAGCCGTTCTCTCGGAAATGAAGTTTGACACACTGTTTTTCCCCCGTTTTAATTATAATCTGATTAGCAAAAGTGGGTGAGTTCGTCATCCCGTCGCCCGTTGCAGGGGGGAAAGGACAAAGTGAACACAGCTGGAGTCTCCACCACTGTTCGGTTTTCAGACGCAGGCCTATGCAGTGACGGGCGCTCGGCTGATTGATGCTGTACAGGCACCGTAGGCAGGGCCGTGCGTGTCTGTACTGACAAAACGAGGGAAGCCCTTTGTGAAGTTTCTTGAAATATGACGGCATTCTGAGACTGAAGAGTGAATTTCCTGAAAAGAAAAATTAGAAATGCTTGTTTTTGTCTGTATTTTTTGAGGCTTCTGAAGGGGACAGCAATTCTGTAAGCACATTTGAACCCAAATTGAAAGCCTGTGCCTATACCTCAAATTTCACGGTTTGATTTGTTTGTCTTTTGTTACTGTATGCAAGCTTTATTTATTTTTTTGGTATTGCTTTATCTGTTTAGTGATCGTCCTGCACTTTTGGCTGTTTTGTGTCTCTATCATATAAAACGTCTTAAAGTTCTCCCTCTGAGTCACAGAATTGTTAACAGCCCAGCTCCTGTAAATATGCGTGCAGTAAACATCCACTTATGACGCTTGTGTTACAGAGACAAGCTCGTGGATTGGAAGGATTTCCTGTTGGTGAAGAGCAAGAGGAACATCACCATGGTGTCATATCCTACTTTCTGTAGTAGATTCAGGAGATACAAACAGACTCCCAACAAGCAAAGCGTTTGCAGTACCTGAATGCAAACTTGACGTGAATGAGATGACAGAACCCCCCTGTAGAACGAGCGAAAGAGCTGGTAGAGGAGAGAAGAACTCTGGGAAGGAGATGGCCTTGTCATATTCAAGTTCATGGATACCATTCGGGTGAATCCATTAAAGTTTTAGCTTACTAGGGAACACAGAGGGCTGTGTAAAATAATTGAAGCTCAACACTTTTCTTTAGAATTGTGCTTCATAACGCAGTTCTAATGGAATATATTCGAAAAGAGGGCAAATATAAGAAAAGGGACAGTCCTGAGCTCTATGTGCCTACCACTTCAAACTGTAAACTGCCAGTTTTTCTATGTGCAGGGCGTCACTCACTGCAGTCTAACCTGCGCTTCCTTAACGTGTTTCTTACTTACCTGGAGGACTTCCCGGGCCTGGTACACTTCATCTACGTGGACCGCACAGCGGGTCACATGATCGCGCCCTCCCTCAATGTGACGGACCGCTCCACCTCGGAGCTGGGAAAGGGGCCGCTGGCACACTTCATCAAGAGCAAGGTGAGCCAGACGTGTCCGGCCTGCTTTTCCATCTCTTCTGGTAAGCAAGTTTACCGACATGGAATTTTGCTTCAAAGCAAGTTCCACTGTGTTTGCTGGCGTCTCGAAAATTTTCAGGTATACCAATTTTGTTTTTTAAAAGGTAGTTGTTTTATGGCCATTGATGTTTAAAGCCATAAGAGCATTTGGAATAGGGTGACCCTCTTTACATACTATACAAAAGACATTCTCTGTAGTGCTTTCAAAGGTACTGCAGTTTAAATTGGGCTTTAGGTTTTCCTCCACTCAGTACAGATGGTTATTTCTGCAAGGTGTTTCCAGTCCAATGACATGAGGAAGCAGTGAGCTGTCCGTCTGATTGCCATCTCTCTCTGTTTTCCCCTGTGTAAGGTGTGGAGTCTGGTGGGCACAGCCAGGCGGTATCTCCAGAAGGGCTATACCACAGTCACCCTGCGAGATGGCGACTACTACTTCTGCTACTTTCTGTGGTTTGAAAATGAAACAGTAGGAAACTGTTCTTCATTTCAGATAGTCTCACTGACGGAGCTCACAGGCAAACATGATACTGACTGACCAAAATATTAGAAACTGGTCAGAATTAATAGACTGGTGTTTCCCAACTCTGGTCGTGAAGAAACACTTTCTGTTGGTCATCGTTCCAGCTAAGACTTTAAACTGCCCAAAGCTGATTGATGACTTCATTGATCATTTTCCTTGTTTGAGTTTTATTACCTTGTTTATTTTGTAAGTTCTGAGCATCACAAATCCCCGACTTCAGGGCCACTGTTTACAGCATTTCCAGCATGCTTGGTTGCTGTTATTTCTTACTAAACAGTTACTTCTTGATGAATTGAGATGAACAGGCAGGTGGGACTGGCACTGTGACACTCCCACGATGAGTGGGTTTTCCATTTCAGACAGCATTCCTGAACAAGGGCAGTTCTGAATCTTAGAAATTGGTCATATAAATTGCAAATCCCATCTGACCATGAAAGCTAATTTACAAATAAGCCCAAGAGAGAAAACTGAGATCAGTTAGCCTGTGTTTAAGAACTTGGCTGGCACATAAACCTGGAGATACAGAGTTCGTCCAGGACCAAGCGGTGAAAAAGACTCTCTCCAAGGCAGGTAGCAGGAAAGTCTTCCACCCCCTCCCCTCAGACGTCCTGTTCTACATCAGTGGAAGTCGTGCTTGCCACCAAGGAGAGGTTGAGATTGGGCTGCTCATACTGTATCATCAGTCACTTTCAGGTCCATGGAAATCATCCTCAACTGTGAGCGATAGCTGAGGAATCATTTTTCAGTGGGGATTCCTAATATTTTGGTCAGCAAGTGTAGTTTTAAAACCTGGTTCCCAGTGATTCTTAACCTACTTCCTTTCATGGTTTTTATCACAGAATGTGTCATGTTGTGTGTACCTTGTGTGCTCAATACTTTCAGTTAGTTTTAATAGATGTACTGTATGCTGGTTTTAAATATACTAGCAGAATCATTTTGCAGGCTCTCCATTCACTGTGTTGTTCCTGAGAGTTTAGGTATTCCGTACTTCCCTGTGCAATGTTCAGAACACGGCGATAACTTAAGAAAAAAATGTTTTGAGACATTTGCTATAGTAAAGACAACAATATTGTTCATACTGTATCTACAACAACGCACGGCTTCATGCTGTCTGACTGTGTCCTTCTCTCAGGGGTACAAGCTGGAGGTGATTGAGCTGCCTGTCCTTCCTGATGACTCTGCCCCCATTGGAATGCTGGGAGTGGACTACTACAGGTAGAGATGAGTACAGTTTTTTTTTTATGTTAGCATTATGCTTTGGGGCAAAAAAGTAACATCTACTAAAACTTTTTCACTGTATCAATCAAGCGCGTACTGTACTCTTGTCTGCCCCGCCTAGACCAGCTCAGTAACTGAGTTCCCTTACAGGAAGCTCCTGAGGTACTACAGCAAAAACCACCAGACGGAGGTTGTCAAGTGTTACGAGCTGCTGACCATCCACCTGGGAGTCATCCCTACTGAGTACATCCTGCAGCACTGCTGTCAGCTGGCCAGGAAGCTGTGGGAGCCCTCCCGCATTCCTCTGCTGTAGGGCAGCCTGGGAGGGACTGCCCATGGAGCCTCGCAGACCAGTCGCTGACACGCTCGCCTAGAGGCACTGTGCTTTTCAGATGACTACATCTTGCCCACACATCTCCCCTGAGGCCTCCTGCCTACCCTCCCCTCCCTTTCACTGCATCTCCTTGTCCACAGAGCGTCCACTGAGAGACGCCGCTGGCTTCAGAGCTCGGACACTGGCCTTGCTGGTGGCTCTGTGGAGGTGAAACAACGTCAGTCCTTGTAGAGTCTGCAGTTCTCCGTAATCTTCAAACAAGAGCGCAGTATTCATCACAGTCTTTCTGTCAATTTTTCCAGCTCCTTTGTTTCCATGTTCGCAGTAACTAACACGCAGTAGTGTAGCTGCACCCATTTATAAACACGATGCTTTCACATTCCATTTTCACTAAATAAAATCATTGGAGGATGCCTGAGGTTCTTCTCTTAACCATACAGTCAGATTGCACTACTGTACTTCTTAGTTTTGGAAATTGCTCTAGTCCATCTGCATTTTTCTGTTATTCTGACTTTTTCAACAATGTGAAGTACTGTAATATATAAAATAAAATTCAATTATGAGGATTTATTGTAGCAAATTCTTGAGACCACTTTTTAATATTTGTAAACATGGTACAGGTATAAAAATTGAGTTGGGCTGAATAGGCAGATCACTATATAGGTCTGGGTGACAGCACATGCTACATGTACATAAGAGTGGATGCAAATGAAGGAGGCTATTAGGCTCATTTTAATGCATTTGGTCATATTTTATACTGTCTGAGAATCTCATCCATCTGTTTCTTGAAGGAGTCAGGATATCGGCCTCAACCGATACTCCCACAACCCTTTGTAGATCAGGGTGAAGAAATGCTTTGTGTTCTTGGTTTTAAATACACTTCCACGTATTTTCCAGTTCTGTCCTTTGGTTTGTGTTTCACTGTTCATTGTGATGAGGTCCGCTGGACTGACGCTGTCCAATGCCTTGGAAGATTTGGAACACTTGGAACAGATCCCCTCGTGATCTTTTCTTTCCAAGACCAAAAGGTTCAAAAGGACAATCTTTTACGTCCCAGCATGCATATGTGCTCTGGACTGACCCTTAAAACGGGTATTTTTAACTTTTAAGAAACCTTTCAGTATGGAGAGAAAGATGTCATGTTGAACGCATGTCAAAAGCAGTATCAGGAGTCATACTATCTGGAGGGGTGGAGAATACTATTGTGTTTTCCTTAGGAGGAAGAGGGGGTTTCTGTACAGGATATACAGTTAGCTCTTTCCGTAGCGAAATATAAACTTTAAACTGAAGCATGGTGAAAGGTCACCTGCACCGTCGCTCTGCTGACTGGAAACAGTGAGACATTTCCCCTAGCCTGCTCTCTCACCTTTGTTTGTTTTTTTCAAGGATGAGTTGTTTTCAGTGCTGAAGTCCATTTCTCGATCAAGATTAATAGCCATTTACTCAAGGTAAATGTAGTTTAATATCTGTATATCCTTGGACTTGTCCTCCTGCTGCCTTTCTGTATACAGGAGTGAGACATTAACAGTTTTCAGGTCACTGAGCAGCTGGTGCAGTTTCCTTCCAGACTCGTCTTTAAGATCAGCACTGCACGTTCTGCATTAAGGGTGGGTTTGTGTTTTAGATTTTTTTTAGGAGTACTAAACTGGAGAAGGCTATTATCTCTGCAGTGTACTTGGCTTGGTCTGTGGAAGCTCCTTTAAAGAGAGTACCAGAGTCATGGAAGGTAATAACAAGCACTTGGCTTCCTTTTCTACTTGAAATCATGTGTAAGCAAGATTGCTTCTTCACCTTTCCTCAATAGTTTCATCTTGATTCTTCATTAAAAATGTGGAGTTAGCTGACAGTTTTTTCGGGGTGATAGTTTTTTCTCCATTTAAAGGCTTGACGAACGTCAAGTTGTTCCTCGGTCAACGTAAACTGGCAAGCCTGCAGAAGCCAGACTTCATAAACCTGTCGTAATGTGGAATAACGTGTCTGGTTGGTTCCGCGTGCTGTCAGGTCAGGCCCCCAGTGAGGTCATTCAACACTGTGGCTCCCACCAGCTCCCTCAGAAACGTTTTCTCCATGCTTACGTCGTGCACAACCTGGACCTTAATGGCGTCCATGTGCAAGGACTCGTAGTAGTGCAGTGGGGTGTCGGAGTGCTGAAGGTCATATCCAAATCCTGCCAGGCTGACCTCGTCACACAGCTGCAGCGCCATGACAACAGCACTTGCCCCAAGGGTGGGCACCATCTACCGGAGAGAGAAGACAGGCACAGGTGGTGACTAATATCCTTCATCACTTTCACTACTTCACACAGAGCTGAAGGGCCATTTCACTGTATGTGTTTCATAGCACATTTCATTGAGGAACGTGAAGGCACATATAACCTTCATGTTTTACAATGAAATGTGCTAAATGGGCCAGATGGCCTCCCGTTGTTCATATAGTAACTTTTTTTATGTTCGTATGCTAACAGTCATTAGGCACCCAAGTATGAAAAACACAAAACTTGAGGGAGAATAAAATGATTCATTGTTTTCTGGTTAGATCGAGAGAGATGACTATTTCTGTCCTGGATCATTTAGCTACAGTATTCATAATTAAAGTAATTGTGAGTGACCATTCAGACAGCCTCCATTGTACGCTTTAAGAATTCAACTGTAAAAATCAAGTGCATGTTGATATCCATTCATACAAAATATTTGATCATTTTGGTTTGTCTAGAATGAACTCTCCTGCATGTTCTTAGAAATATCCAATAATTGCCAGACCCCAAAAATAGAAAAGTAATCAGTAATGAATATATATACCCATAAGATCAGTCTTATTTAGATGGCAGCTTGCATCCAAGGACCACAAGTGCGTGCAAGAAAGATAGAGATCAGAAGGAGCGACGGCACCTTGGAATGACTGCCCTGGTGGCCTGGGGCCTCAGAGAGCCCCAGCAGCACCTCGCGTGTCTCGCGGATTATCTCGGGGTTCAGGATCCTGAAGTTCTCAGGGCGGAGGGGTATGGAGTCCACCACTTCCTGCCAGAACCACAGCCTGGTCCACCAGCCCTGCGCAGACACAGACAATCCTTCTAGCACACAGACCGACTGAGTAACGATACCGGTTATTTTATGAAAACAAGCTGATACATGTGATGGGTGTAATTCTAACCTTCCCAGAATTCAGAGCAGCTCCCTGGACATCGGAGAAGCCACAAGGCCTGACCTCCTGCTGTGGGCTAGTTCTACGCTGGCCGTGGTGTTACTGTGCCTTCTGCAGCAGGCTCTGAGACACTGAGCCCTGCTCCACACACAAACCCAAATGAAATGGATTTGAGGAATTACCTTGCCCAAAAATATGATGCAAGGGATCAGCTACAGCCTGTCATGGCCACAGCTGTGAGATCAGTATATGCACATCTAAAAGTAAGATATATGAACGAATCAGAAGCTGAAAAGGGCGCTGGACTCACCAGGGGCTTCTGCGCCACCACCCCAGTGAGCCAGTCCAGGTCCGAGCTCTTGAATACAGCCAAGGCCACCAGGGAGGTGTTGGTGTACTCTCTGGGAGAGTGTGGGGCCCCTTCAGGGTATGTCAGACGGATGGTTGTTCGGGAACCAGCATCTCTCTCAAAACCAGACACCGGAGCGCTGTTCATCCTGACAACAGCGGATGGGAAAACCTTTAGTTGTTTCAAAGTATATTGCAAGCTGACCTTTCCTCGACCTCTTGAACGCAGTCTCTAACCATGCAATGGAATGATTTCTAAGCCTTCAGAATAACCCATGTAATACTTAAAAGGTCCTTTTTCATTTCTTACCACACAACAGAAGATGAGATATTTGACATTCTTCACAAACGATTATAACACGTACGTCATGTTAAAGTAGAGACAACGGCCAAGTCAATTTAGAAAAACTGAACCTCACTGGAAGTTTAAAATCTGATACTCTTGGGGAGAACAGCGAAAGCAGGGTAACTGACGAGAAACTATTGCTGTCTGCGCAATATTTCGTCGTAACCAACACTGACGTCTTGTTGCGAGTACCCTGGAAGACCCCCATCCTCCAAAAACCAAGACCCCCTGTGTTCGATAGCAGAAGGGAGGCGCCCACCTGATGATGACGTCATGCTGATCGATGTGGTCCCCGAGGCGGCTCCCCAGCAGAATGCCCCCGCTGCCCACCACCACACAGCGCCTGCAGCCGCCCGCCGCCAGCGAGGGGGGCAGCCCGCTCTGGGGCAGGCTCCCGAGGGCTGCGGCCGCCCGCTCCTCGCTGCCCCGCAGGCCCAGGGGAGGGGACAGCCTCTGCTCGCCCCCCACGTCCCGCAGGAACACCGGGACCGCCAGGGGCAGCCGGCCCGGGTGCACGGCCCTCAGGCGCTCTCGGCTCCAGCCGGGGCGGCAGGCTCTGGACAGCAGGCCGGCCGAGCGGTTCAGCAACCCCTGGATGAAGGACACCAGGCGTGTGCTTCACTGTCTCTTCAGGACATGAATAAACTACCGGCGTCACTCGTGCCAGCAGACGACTGCATATCCTACAGCTCTGTCGTGCTCTTAACCCAGAGAAACTGAGCAGTAAACATGACTCATGCTACTGCTGAAGGCGCATGAAGAACTATTTACTGCCTTCTGTCTCTGATTCAGTGTAGGTTTCTCCTTTACTAGTGAAGGTTTGCATTCATTTGCTCTGCCCGTGATGAAAGCCAGACTGGACTCTGTTAAACCAGGCAGGGCAGCATTGAGAGCGCGCCTGATCTCTGTCCGTGCTGTGTGCGGTACTGTACCTCCTCTCGCCTCTGTGCCAAGCTGTCCTGTCTCCAGGCTTTGGCTTCCCTGGGGAAGTAGGCCGGATAGAGCACAGCTGTGTAGCACCCACACAGGAGCAGCAGACTGACAGCCAGGTTCTTCTTCCTAACGCAGTGGCAGAGGTCAATGTTCAACTCACAGACGTGGGGCTGTAAAACATTAGCTCATAGCAGAGGTGGTTGATTCACGGGCTGCAGTGAAAATGGTATTTTTTTCCAACTACACCTGACTGATCGTCTGCTAACTGACATTTTTAATTGGAGTGTGTACAAATATGTTTCACTGTGATTTTACTTCCCACTGACAAAGAAAATACTCTGTTGTCTCTCAGCTGAAAGCACAACAGAGCCAATATGTCCTGCAGAACCGACGGGTCCACACGCTCCCATTTGTTTTGCTATGAATGCGTCATTACCCTTTATTTTTTTATATTATTAAGTGCACATGCATGTGCTGTATGTCCTACTCACGTATTATTACACCGATTTCCAGGAGTTTGAACTACAGTGTGAACAAATGGTAAATAAGGGTTAAATAATGAAAAAGCGGTAAAATTAGAAAAAAATAATATACAATAAGCTTATCGACCAGAAAATACAAGTTATTATATTTTAGTGATGCTTTTAAAAACAGTTTTAATAATACAGTACATGTGGAAAATGCAAGCGTAAACGAACTTTCGTCGTCGTGAAAACTAGTATAATATTTTCAAAATCAATTTGATTTTTTAAATTGTTACATATGATGAGGTGTTACGTATAATAGTAAACTTGTCAGATGCTACGGAACCGTTTTTCAGAATTCCTTGTATTATTGTATTATTAAGTCTGCTATAATTTTATTATTATTGTACCATTTGTGGTTTTTATACTATGCGCTACCGGAACCCCCTTTTTTAATTTCAATTGTCTTATTTTTGTATACGTAAAGTTCCAAAATCATTTTAGTTATATCTTTCTATTTTGTAAGATGTATTCTTTGAGATACGTAACGTACCGTAGGCCTATATTAGATAATAGGCTGTTTTCTTTTTAATAGCCAATAGCCGTTATTCCACTGTATCGTTGTTATAATCAGATATTATGATAATTGTGATTCAGAGATTTAAGAATTTTTTAATTAAAAAAAGAATGTATAAAACATACTGTACGAGTAGTTTAAGACAATCGGTAAAATTAGCTTTAAGTTACTCACCGACTCAGGAAGAATTCTCTCTGTTCTCTCCCATTGGGTCTGTGAACCCCCTTCTCTGAATCGTCCATCTCCTACAAAATCTGTATTCTATCCTGCAGTATCAGTGTTCTTCCACGTACAGGTGTTTTTCTCAGAATTTTTATACTCATACGTTTTTCATATGTGTTCTCGCATTGAACAAAATGTTTTATTTATTTTGTAGAACATAAATGAATTAGAGGGTGTCCCTAAACTCCCCCCCAAAAAATTATCGTTGATTCTTTGCTTAACAACGTTCGTGGCAGTCTTAATTGCAGAAAACGCAGACCTTATAAGCAAGACAGAAGAGCAAAATTTTGTAATATTAGTCTCCTTCACAAACGACGCAAACGGACGTAGCTTTTTCCGTCGTTTGTTTCAGAAACTTTTCGTTTCGCATTTGTCCACTGAACAAAAGAAAGATATAAAAATATTTATTTTCCCGTTTCCCATTGATGAGTATTCCCAACACCGCCTCTCCATCGTCCTACAGAGTTGAAATGTCAGAGGTTTGGAATCCGTGTCGACGCTGACTAATCGGTTACCTATTACTTCGCCCAACGTCTCACGAATGTGATCGCCTGGTTAATAATCGACTAACCTGACCTTTCCTCAGGATGAACTGCAGAGCTCTGATCTTTCCGATTTTTTTACATCTTTGTTTATTTTGTAGGCACATAGTGTAAAAAATGGATATGAGTAAGCACAATCACGGAAAGGCAGTGTACAGTGACAGGATGCATTGTACAGAATGTTTTGAAAAACGTTTTCCCTTCGTTTTGTAAAAAAAGAACAAATCTTTTTTAAAATAAATGGACATCGCAGTGATCAGATGTCAGTTTTCCATCTTATCTTTAAACGTTAGATGTCCTCAGATTTCACACCCTATAAATTACAGTATATGGACTGTAGCCTATATGAAAATATTGTAACGCAACGGGGGTTCAGGCGGGCGCCCTTGCCGCATTAGGTCAGCCCCCCATCGTCGGGGGCTCGAACCCGGGACTCCCGCGTCACTCAACAGTGACCCAGCGCATAAATGCGCGTCTCAAAATCAACCTGTCCATTAAACTTGCATCAAACTGACAGTTATTATCAAGAAAAGGTTTATATACATAAATCAAATCCACCAACGTTTAATTGAAAAGATGTGACACAGGTGAACTCAATATGCTGATCTGTGATCAACTCTGTGTGCAATGGAAGACTCGAGACAGTAGCGCGTGGTTACAGCGGTTGGAAACAGCAAAAGCTTCAAGCTGTACTTCTGTATTGCCAGAACTATCCCAGGGGCAGATGCTGTCTCGTGGGATTCTGTCCCATTCCTCTTGTGAAGACTGGACAGGCAGGTGCCTGCTCACGGGTGTCAGACCCTTAGATGCCACGTGTCATTCCGGCTCGCCCTACACGTGTTAATTGGGCTCACGTCATGAGACCAGAGCTTCCACGGTACAACTGCTAGCCTCTCATCTCGCACGAAATGCCCTGATACACGAGCAGCGCGAAGAACAGCGTTGTCTTGCTGAAATGCGGTCACCTCAGAATGAGCTCGCAGCAGAGCTCCCGGGATCTGTCAGTGCGGCGCCAAGCGACCAGGCGCCCATCAATCACTAAAGTGGAGTCTCTTAGCGTCTGGCCCTGCCCAGATCTTCACACTACACGTACGCAAGGTGCGTATTTGCGTGGGACATCCGTATCGGATGACAGATCGGTCTGTCATTCACAGCAGCTTAGCGTTCACGGTGGTCTACAGGAAAACCGAATTTCATCACTAAACAGGACTGCAAACGACCGTGTACTGTTTTAGCCCACTCTAGCCAACTGATGGCAAGACATCGCTATTTTCGTGCTAAGCAGAGCATATTGGTTACTTTCTGTGTCTTTCTATCTGGATTTTCACCTTGTCATTCAATAACCTGTCAATTCACCTGTACCCAACACCTCTCACTAATGAGGCGATATAGACCTTGTGCAACAAAGTCACTCGAGTGTATCTCGGTCAGTTATAAAGGAGCGATTAATCACAATGACTAATTTCAATCAATATCTAAAATCCGTATATCTGTTTTTTTTTTTTTGTTCTAAACACAATGCATGCATAGAGTGATGTGTTTCTGGTTTTGGCATTCGGTGATGGGATTTTTACAAAAGCTATGTGGTTGTCGTAAATATTATGTACTGACCTGACATAAATCAAGCATTTTAAAAATAACGCGAGGTCTGGACCAGGGCGTAAATTAGGCCTTGACTCCCATAAAGAAGCCGGGGTGAAGCTGAAGGTCGACCCGGTGGGAGCGTGAGAAGCGTCAGCTGATCGAGCTCATGAAGCCGGCTCGTGCTGACACCTGTCCCCGGCGGCGGTGTCGGACAATGGCCGCTGTGCGCGCGGCGCATTCCACTGGGTCACATAAAAGAGCCACGACTCCCACCCTGTGTCCACTGCGCGCCGTCTTCCTCACTGATGGCACGATAGGAAGGACAAGCTCCCGAAATAACAGGGAGAACAAATAAACTCCTCTAGTAAATAATTATCAGACGTGGTGCAGAACTCGCGCAAGTACTGTAACTATTTAGACTTTCTTTTAGTTTTTTTTCTCTAAAATTGCTCGAAACCTTTACAAACTTACATTATACAGTTCATGCTAATAACACATACTGTATACAGTATATCGTCCATAAAGAGGTTTTCTGCAAGCTTTAACCAGCTATGGAAGAAGATGTTCAATGGGCAACACATCTGGTTGACAAAAAAGAGGAGCTAGAGGCGAAAAATCACGTAAGTTTAATTTTGTTCTTTAAGGGAAAAGAATAAGCAACGTGTATGCTTTTTTTTTTGTTTTGTGGCGTGGTTCACTTTTCGGTGTTTAGTATTTTTCCTCAGGAGCTATGGACTATATATCTGATTTGAGGGATAATATTTGCTTCGATACTTATCATGGGGTTTTCAAACCTACTTTCTACTCTGAATGTTTCACCTTGACAATTATTTAATGAACCCAGCCCTGCTGTCTGAAACTCTTTTGGCTGTGAGAATGTTCTCTAAAACTGACTGGTACGTTTGTGCTTTCGTATCTTCAATATACAGTACTGCCCTGTCACCACCCTCCGGTTTAAGCATCAGCAAGAATGACATTTTTTTCAAATTCCTGTTATCAGCCATTGTTATTAAAGTTGGCAGTTGTTTATTGTGATTGGATAACGACTCCTGGGAGCTTTTCTTCAATGTCCTATTATATCTCTTTGGTCAGTTGCGTCACCTTTTTATTTACAAAACAAATCTACGTTCTTAAGGTCAATAAAGTCCATAGTCTTATTAGAACAGTCTTATAAGACCAGGTGCTTTCTAGTAATATCACCTTGACACACTATCTTTTAATCCTCCAGTTCTAATAAGGCAGCATGCTACATCCAGGGACTGGATGGACACACGACTTATCACAGTATTCCGTACAGAACTGGAATGTGTAGCACCTAGGAAAAACTTGACAGCAGTGCTCTGAAAATGATCTCTAATTAAACAGATGTGTCAAAGGCTTGGTGTACAATAGTACCACTACTCGCTGTAGCACATTTACGTAGCTTAATTGGAATGTGTGTATTACATTTCATGTTCTTTAAGGTGATGCAGAGATTAGTAACAGGCCCACGACAGAACTTTCTACCTGACGCTCCCCTGCCTTGCTACAGAATTTGTAGGTCGTGACTATAATTACAATAGGCATGTTCCTGTAACACTGTTCAATTTGTGGCACAAGGGTGTTTGCTTCAGGAGGTTTCTTTTGCTTTTTTTTAGCTCCATTTCTCCATGTCACAGCTATGTAATATAATGAGACACCTACTCATCCCAGTGTCACCGCAGTAGGAGCGATACTGAACTTGAGGGAAAGGTCATCTCCTTTAACAACAGCTGATTGCACTGTCAAAGGGTTGTAGCTGTCTGAACTGTACGGAGGAGTGAATGGCAAATGTTAACGGCATTTACTTTTCATCTCTTTCAAAAGGTCAAAGGCCGGTCAAGGAAGATAGGACTTGGGACAATGGACATGCAGATGCTAGAGGACCAGAAATGCGAGGAAGCGAAAGATCAGGGGGTCACAAGCATGGTAAAGAGTTAAAGATTGGGATCAGCATTCTTTTGTTTTGTGGGGGGTGAGGGGGGTGTTTTCACTCTGTGGCTTGGCCATATTACAAACCATATTGCAGCAAGCAACGAAACGAAATTCCATGAAAAGCAAATATACTTTACCAAGAAAGAGGCTTCAAGAGAGATGTGGAGCTGGGTCCTAGGACAAAAATAGAGGTGAAAACATAAAAATGACATATTATTATGAAGTGTCACTAAACACTCACCCCAATGAGAAACCCCTCTCTGGGAATGCTGTTCGGCTCGTAACTATGACTCGGAGAAGAGCAGAGTGGCAAAAAGGGTTTGTGTCACGTATTCTCTACTTCCCGCCAGAGATTAAACAATTGAAAAAAGAAGTGTAGTGCCATCGAGGCTGAGCTAAGCAGCGTTGACTCACAACTATTTTTCTCTGCACTGAGAAAACTCTTTGATTAGAAGAATACTTGTTCTATCGATCTTGTTCATCTCCCAGACTGGTTGTGCACAAAGCAGCTTCAAATTGAGCTCTGAATAACAGAATTTCTGCCTCCTCGGATACCACACCGTTAGTGTCGGTATCCCCCGTTGACTTTAGCACTCCAGAAAGTGCAGGCGTCAAAGGTAGTCCCACGTGGTGGCTGGCCGTACCTCAAGGTCCTGTGTCTTTTAACACAGCTCGGCTTCTGAAATCGTAATGTTGGACATGTTTAATATCGTGCAGGACGGAGAGCTGCCCAGAACTATCACACCGCATGAGTTTGCATCCGCTCCTGTTGAAGTGTCACTCTTCTCAGGGCTTTCTCCAGAGTTTTATTAGCCGGGAAATGTGCAGAAGTGACCGGCGTGCAGCTTCGCTAGTAAATCATAGGCCCTGAGTAATAAGCAGGCTGGGTGGTAAGTGATGCAGTAAATCTGTCTCTGGGTGTCAGAAAGCAGGTGATGTTTTATTACATAAGCAACTGCATCCTCAGGGGGTCACCCACACAAGAAACTTTAGGATTCGAGGAAGGGGAGTGGAATGTTGTCTGTCTCAGTGTTTTCCGGATATATATATCCTATAGCAGCATATAAAAACATATTTGTATGTTTTGATTGAGCAGTGCTCAGTGTAATTGTATTTATTATATGTAGAGGGGTGCATTTATATGACTTTGAACACTACCAACCTGAGGCTTGTAATCTGACATTGTCATATTAACCTTGTGACTACTAAAGCTCTTGTGCATTCAAGCTCTTTTTAAACTAGCCCCGTTTGTATAGACTCAGTATGCTACAGCTGGCTCTGAATTACTTTGTCTGAAAATTAAGGGAAAATAAAACAAATGCACATATATGTCAGTAACATGGACCCAGTACATGACTCTGTTCCATTCCTTTTTTCATTCTCATAAACCCATTCAGCAGGGCTTTAAGCCCATCTGGAGATATTTAAATAGAGGTATGCTATAAACTGTCTTGTTTAATTCATACTCTTCATGAGTAAAGCTGTCTCACGTTGGAAATATACTGCTTTAAGGGTGTGCTGAATGGGCTTTCCCTGCAACAGGTGTTAACAAGAATTAAACTCATCTGGCCCTTGCGTTATCTCAGGCTGTGAGGAAAACCTCTTCGGATCTGCGGAGAGAGATCATCGATCTTGGTGGCATCCAGAACCTCCTTGAGCTACACGAGAAAAGGAAATGTAGGAAAAAAAAAGTGGCGCCCCCTACTGCTCAAGAGCCTGAAGGGCAGAACATTGTGAGTTCGAGTGCTGTGACAGCATGGGGCTTGTGTGTACTGTATGCAGATTAGATATTAACAATGACTGCTCTTTTGTCTCTCAGCTCGCCTTGTTTATGACTTTGTAATCATGATGACCTTGTCTTCTCATCACAACACCGCTTAAAAAGGAAAAACTACACTACACAAAACTTTTAAAGCAAAATACCTCAACAGCCTGTACAATGGCCTAGTAGTGGGTGCAGCCTTTGTTGGGGTGTTGATCTTGAGCATTGTTTAATAATGCTTTTTAATTTCTGCAATTTTGTAATGTCCCTTTTGGGAAAAGGTAAATGTATGTTTTTAAATGTTAGCTGATAATATACTATGATATTGGTATTTTGAAAAGTAAGCAGAAGATCACATTCCTTAGCCTATTTCAATATGAGAGTGTAAAAGAACCTCGACTCTTGCCTCTGATTGTTCAGACAGGGCCTGTGGAGGTGTCTCAGTTCTTACAGGCTGCGGCACAAGGGAAGATCAAAGTTATTGAGAAGTTTCTGGAAGATGGTGGGAACCCAAGCTCCTATGATGAGGTAAGGCTCAGCCGCACTCGACCCCTAATTTCACAAAGACATTTATTCTCGTTTTACACCATGTTCAAGAAAGAGTTCCGGTCTTTTAGTGAGGAGAGAGAAGTGTGCTTCACTTTGAAGTCAATTCAGCAGTATAATATCACAGACAATCTGGGGCTTAAGAGAGTGTCCTGGCACAGGACCAGTAGAGGGGGTTCTGACAGAGGTGCTGAGTTCTAATCTCACAGATGGTGCAGCTTCACACCGTTGACGGCTCAACCAAACACACATACCAAAAGTCTGAACCTGACGGTACTGAACCTTTTGAGTCTTGAACCTTTTTCATGAAGTCTTTTAGTCCAAGAAGGGGGCCTGCTACAAATATTCAAAACCTTCAAAGGTGTTGACAGTGTCAGTCCAGCAGATCTTCTTTTCAGAATGAACTCTGAAACACAAACCAGAGGACACGAGTGGAACAGAAGTGGAAGTGCATTTAAAACCGAGAACCGGAGGCACTTTCCTCAAAGGAAGGGTTGAGGGAGTCTTGAACAACCGACGCCGCTGTGTTGTTGATGTCCTTGCCCTGGCTTTCTTCAGGAAACGGATGAGTTTCTGGGATCAATAAGCTACTAACTACCAAGCGTGTCTCACAGGCCGAATGGTCTCCTCTCGTTTGTAGCCTTTGTTATGTGCTTATGCATTGGAGGTCTAAAGCGTTGTTTTTGTTACTTTCCAGTTTAAAAGAACAGCTTTGCATAGAGCGTCTTTTGAAGGCCACACAGCGATAGTACAGAAGCTTCTGGACAAAGGGGTGGATGTCAACTTTAAAGACCGGGTGAGATGTGGTTTTAAGTCTTAGATTACTGAAATAAGGAAAAAAATCCCTGTAAACAAATATGATTTTTTGGATGTGCACAGACACATGCAGTATGTCTTTCCTGTACAGGACAATAGTAAAATCTTATGTGCACAAAATTAATCTGTACAGACCTCCATGTGAATAATAAAAAGTGCTAAAATGAAAAGCATGACACTGTCAAGGCTCATGTGTACTGTGAGGGAGGTGGCTGACTGTCTCTCTGCCTGGTCTCAGCTGGACAGTGGAGCTCTGCACTGGGCGTGTCGCGGGGGCAGCCTGGAGGTTTTGAAGGTCCTTCAAAACAGCGGGGCCAACCTCAATGTCCAGGACAAGGTAAGACATGGCGATCCTCAAAATGAGAGAGGGGGGTCTGCGTGTGTCCCGCCTGCAGCAGGGCCTTCTGCACAGAAACAGTCAGAAGCGAAGGAATCTTTTGCAGCCAATTGTTTGTCGTTGTTGAGAAATGTTGAATTAAATTCATCTTTATTGGCCCTGAGGGAATATGTCTTACACATCACCAGTTCATTACATATGACATATACAGTATGAGAATCATACAATACAGCAACAGTACAATACCAGGACATAAAGCAACATTCAACAACATTGCTCAGTCAGAGCTCATTTACCATGAGATTGAAAACGGACAATTTGCAGATAAAGTGTCTAAAACAACAACAACAATAACAATAATAAGATCCCTACCTGCAAACTATCTTTTCATTGTTCAGCAATTCAGCAGTATGCTTTTATATATAAAAGAAGGTAAAATGCTGTCTTAGTCTTTATACAGGGGATCTGGTACTGTACCTCCCCACAGAGGGTAGGAGAGTATATTCCAAAAAGAGTGGATGCGAGTGGTCATCTCAGATTTTATGTGCAAGATTAATAATATGTTGCTCCATTGAACATTATATTGATTTCAAGGATGCACTGGTAATCTTGCCACCAGTCCTGATCACCTTGTTCCACTTGTATCTGTGCTGCAAGGACAAGGCACCTCCTCAGCTCTGAATACTAAAGGTTAGAATGCCCTGAATACAATTCTTATTTAAATATCAACATTAAAACTAATAAAAGTTCCTTAAACCTTGATTTACCTCCTCAGTCAGTTGAACAAATTTGGTCTATCTTAAAATATTACATACTACAGACAACAGGTGTGCTATTGAGAGTGTGCGCTCATGGTATTACAGTGTGGTTTGGCAGCAGCTCATTGTCTGACCAAAGGACATTACAGGGGGTGATCGGGTCGGCACAGTCCATCATTGGACTACAGCTCGCTTCTATTGTGCACATTTTTACAACACGCTGTCTCAGGAAGGCCAGGAGTACTGCTGAAGACAACGATCATGCTGGTTTCTCACTTTTCTCTCCCCTTCCCTCTGGTGTTATAGGAGCATAAAGGCACATATCTCCAGACTCAGAGACAACTGTATGTTATTTAACTTTGTTGTTGTTGCTGCTCTTCTGTGTTTACGTTTGGTGTTTCCTTAATATGTTTGTATGGGAGCATACATGCGACTTTACATTTCATTGCACTTGTGCATATGACAAATAAACTGAACTAAACTTAACAAATACAACCTCTGTTGCACATTCAAATACAGTACCTTACTCCTGTGTTGGTGGTCCAAGTTAATTTACAACCAATGGTTGTGTCAAGGCACTTACTGTCTATTCATTGCATTACTTTCTGAAATTGTTTGTGTTTGTTTAGAAACAGTGAATTAGTCTGACACCAACTATAAAACAGATTTTATCTGCTGTCTGTAATTGTATTCATAATCATTCAAATGTCCAATCAAGGCAGCGTGATGATCAAACAGTTGTGATAGTGGCTTACACAACCTTTAGTGTACGATGTAAAAAGCAGTGGGAGCAGCACACAGCCTTGAGGTACCTCCTTGCTGGTGCTGATGGTGAAAGACTTCCCCAAGCTCACTTGCACATACTGTTGCCGATCAGTAAGAAACTTGTCTGTCGATATTTTCTTCTTCAGCTCATGAGTACACCGCTTCATGTGGCCACCAGGACTGGTCACTATGACATTGTAGAGCACCTGATTTGCAGTGGGATCAAAATCAACTCCAAGGACAGGGTAGGTGGTACTTTTCACTTCTCAAGACAGACGTGCAGCTCTGGGTGAAAGAATACAGTGTCATAGACTTCTCAGCACTTAGCCAAGATCCATTCATGCTCTCTTTTGCTGCCGATTTAGTAGTTAAGTCATATTTCTTACAGATCTTTTGAATGGAATAGAAACGTCAGAGCCATCATCAGAACATTTCAGTCCCATACACTGTGATGGACTGGCGTCCTGGCCAGGGTGTAGCCTGCCTTGTGCCCATTGCTTGCCAGGATAGGCTCCGGCTCCCCTGTGGCCCTGAATTGAAAGAAACGGTTAGAAAATGGTTGGATTAAGCCGATGCAGTACAAGGCAGTTCATACCATTATGAACATTAGTAGATGATTTCCAAATACTTGCAGAATAGCTCAGGTTTCCCAGCCACTCAAGTCTCGCAATATGGCATCATTACCCCCCTTCCCCAGAGTTAATACAGGATGAAAATGTGTTGGTACAGTTCGCCATCCCTGGAGTCTAGGACTGCTCACTCAGGCCTCAGCATTGGCCCCTGGGCTCCTTGTTCTGTTATTCTAGGAAGGGGACACAGCTCTGCATGATGCCATTCGCCTCAGCCGCTACAGGATTGTCAGATTGCTTCTGCTGCACGGGGCGGACATGAAAGTCAAGAACGCTGTAAGTTTCAGCTTTCACCAAGATTAGTTCTCCTCCGTTCAGGTAAAGATAAAACACACTCGGGTGATTTCAGACTGTCTCACGGGAACTGGTTTGTGTTTAGTGTCCAAGAGTAAGTGGAACTGACTGATATTTCCTGGCAGTGTGAACACAACTATTCACTACAGTACTGCAGAGTTTTGTACAAGCAAAATGCACAAGTCACAGCTTAGAACCAAGTTTTGTATATTTAACTATAAACCAAGGACAGAATGATTTCTAGTTGTAGTTTATAGTTTATGATCTGTTTCAGAGACACACAGACACGTAATAAGATACAAACAAGTGAGGATATATGTACGAATTAAGATGCAGCATGATCCCTTTAATAGAAATGCATTTTTAAAATATATTCTATTTGTACACCTGTACATATGTTCTCAGGTCCATTATAGTTTGTAAGTCAAATATTGATGCACACAGCAAAGAGTGCTCAGTATCAGGTAAGCTCTTGTTGGTGTGGAAGAGCAGACTTGGAGACTTAGAGGTGAAATTTTGTATATGCTTCAGGAAGGAAAGACTCCCTCTGACCTGGTTATGCAATGGCAATTTGATACCAAAGACGTCTTGGAGAGACAAGCAGAGCTCAGCTCCTAAGGAGGAGGAATAGACAAAGCATTGAGGTCAGGAGTCCTGGACACCCACAGAGAGCCTCCCCGCAAGGCAACTGGTATCTGGCTCCTCGGCAGGGTTATCTGAAGAGCTCTGTCTGTACTTTGAAATTTGCATTTACTGATCATTCTGACCTAATGTCTTTGTTAGATTCCAAAAATAGAGATACAGTATACCTATATACAGTTTATCTGAATAATTGCTTTGAGTGGTGAAGATATTTTTGACATTTTGAAGATGCTCAGTGTGTGTTTTTCTATACACACTACTTAGATGAATACTGCATGCCAATCAACAACTGTATTCTGAAAATTAGAAGATAAATGATGTTATCCATACCAGCTGATGCTAACAATGAACCTGGTCGGATTTTGTATTAATAAATGTGATGGACTTTAAGTTATTTTTTATTGCATATTCATTTTTTCAAATGATAGGTTATTTCTTTCAAATTACATATGCAATTGGATTGGTTTACCACATACAGTACTAGCTCAAAAGTGGTAATGATTAGAAAAAAATCAATATTTGTTTTGCTTATTTTGTATGATTCTTTTATAATTAAAAATCAGTCAGGATCAGCAAAGATAATAAAGAAACAATGCTATATAATAACACATTATACTCCTGAAGAAAGAATATATCCAAAATCCAAGTGAATTACATGGGTTGTGTTTTTGGATACTCTTTGTGCCAGGGTATGTTCCAGTGTATGTTTACAAAAATAATAGTTTGATAATGATTTTGACAACATTTTGAAAATGTGAGTTTTATGTAATGTTAGACATTACCCCAATTAAATTATATGATTCATTGTTTATTAATCTCTTAATTATTTAAGCACATGAAGATATATATATATACAGTATAGAAAACAATACAAATATCATTTTGTAAATGGATATTGCATTAAATAAATTATACCATCGAAGTAACAAAACAAGACACACCAACTAAATTGGCAGATTGAACCTGATCTTATTGATAACCAAGAGTCCTGTCTTTGCTTTCCTCTTTTCCTCTTATTCTAGTATTGAATAAACATTCTCAAGTAGGCACTCCGAGCCTTTAACAGATCCCTGAAGAAGAAACAAACTTCAGGGAAGCCTCACCTTTCATTCTTTCTCACAGTTTGAACAAACCCTTGAGTAAATTCACATCTATAGAGCAATATTACTGGGACATTTCTTGTTCCTGCAGATTACTTTTCAGTTATTATCTCTACAGCTCAAAATGACATTCACCTCATTACCATCTGAACTCCCTTTCAGCCATGGGACTGACTTTATGAATTAATCATATCACGTTTGTCATTTTGCCTGCAAAATTTCAGATTTTCCACCCTTACCCTCAAACATTACTTATGCATCTGACCTGATTCACGTAGAAAAGTTCACTTCTAGGTTTGTAGCCATTATTCAATTCATTTTATTCAGCTTTGAACACAGGACTGGTACCAAGATACTATTTATTGTTATTATTTCTAGAATTATTGGATAATTAAATCAGAACGTTGGCTTCTGTAGTCTGAACTCCAGCTGTTCATTTTTACTTGCTGCAGTATTACAGTAACTGACCCAATTTTATCATGGTCCATAACCAACACAGCAGGTTTGCTCATTGCAGATCAGCACGGGGAGCTGAATTAGCTAGAGCCTGCGCTCTCTGGGCCCTCCTGGCCCCTCTGGTGAACGCGCAAGTGCTCCATGACCCGGTACTGCCGTGAGAAAGTCATGGGACACTGCGGGCAAGGGTAGGGCCTGACCCCCAGGTGAGACCGCATGTGTCTGTTCAGAGACCCCCGCTGACTGAAAATCCTCTCGCACACAGAGCACTGGTAAGGCTGAGCGACGGTGGGCAGAGCACAGCAGCTGTAATTCACCATGGTGTCCTTGGCCAGTGCGCTCTCCAGAACAGCAACACTGTGCTTTGGTTGACAAAGCCCGGCAGGGTCCCTTTCAAAGGCTGTGTTAGCAAAGACATTATCGGAATCTCTCATTTCAGCGGCCTCTGGGTTTTCCTTTACAATACAGCTATATGTGACTTGAGCCTGGTAGATTTGGAGTGCATTCTCTCCATTCTCTCTTCGGTTCAAACCCTCCCACTTCTCCTCAGAGTCTCTGGTGTTTCTGTTGATGTTTCTGATACCTCTTTGGGCTCTAGCTGCAGCGTCATCAATGTCTGTGGGAAATTCGCCCGTGTCTTCACCCGTCGTATTGGTAAAAAAAACACAGTTCTCACCCCTACAATCCTCCCTTTTTTCCATAGCACCACAGCCTTTGCCACCCCCGGCCATCACAAACGTCCGCGTGTCGACATCAGAATTGCTTGAATTTCCGTTTCCCTGGCTGAGTTCATTGCGCCCTGTCTGAACACCCATACTTGCAGTTGAAGTGTGTGAATATTCACCTTGATGTACGGGATCATTTTCAGCACCACACGCAGTCAAGAAGCTACAGGTCTCGTTCTCAGAACGCCCTGGATTGTGAACTTCAGCTGCTACATTGTCACCGTCGTCCACAACCACTGCCGGACTCCTACTACCCAAAGCGGAGAACGGCTGTATTGTGGCCGTTCTAGTGTTGCTGCCAAGCGCTCCCTCTGGTACGAGGGGCCACTTTTCAGTTCCGAGACCACTGCGAGTTCTGCTGTCGGATACGCCTTCACAGGCCTGCGGACGCATGGGTGTGCTTTCATGGACGACAGCCCTTTCACTCTGTGCTGCGAGCCCTACAGCACATCTTTCGGCAGCCTCCCCCCAAAAATGACCTTTCGCCTCGTCGAAATCCCAGGGATCGTCACACTCGGTGACGGCGGCGCGGTGGGGACCTGTGCTTTCTGCCAACGCCGCGGCTCTGCTGATTATGACGCTGTTCTCAGAGCTCGTCTTGCTGCTCTCGGATTCAGCTGCAGTTGGGTTACTGAGAGGGCAGGGGGGCTCAGCGCCGGCAGTGCCACTCAGTGCTGAAGGCCAGTTGGCTTGCTTTAAAATCCCGTATGAACCTGTCCCGTACTGTAATCCGTGACTCTTGGGCTGGTTTCCAGAGCGAGACACTGTTATTCCTTGGTCGCCGCTACCTGCCTCCTTGCTTTCACCGCAGTGAAACCCCAAGTCCAGCATGTCTGAACCAGGAATCTGGCTCGGGAGGGGAGTCTGCGTTCCTGGGAACGAGGATGTCTTCTCAGGTTTTCCTCTTGTGCTTGCACGCCGAATGACTGGAACGACCTCGCAGCTGGGCACCAGTGGTGTGGTCTGTTCGGGTTTGCCGTTGAGCAGGGGCGACGGGAGATCTCTTGGCACTGGCTGGTACTCTGCCAGTCGCCTCTTCCGGTGTGTTCTGAGTGCTTCAGACTCTGCTGGGGAATACATAAACACAATAAATAGGATACTATTTCTGGTTTGTTAAAACAGCATTTTCTATGTTATGCTTGCTTTAGTTTTTAAATTCTGAAGAGCTCAAAAGATAACACCTGCAACGCCCATACTATTTTTATGCTTAAGGTATACTTACATGTGAATTTTAATAAGTAAAAATACATGCATCAACCATTTCATTTTTCTCAATGTGTTTTGAGAAAAGTGAACATCGAAACATTTTGATACTAGATCCTGTTACTTTCAGCCATGTAAATCAAGTGTCAAGATAAGAGCTCTTTATTGGCCATATACAATTTCTAGTATTAGGAATTTGTCTTTTCACATACTGTACCTCAGCTTGCTCTCCATGAGACACCCAGACAGGGAGAGAAGCTTGGGGTCAGAGCGCAGGGTCAGCCATTTATATGGAGCCCCTGGAGCAGCTGAGGTTAAGGGCCTTGCTCAGGGGCCCAACAGAGTAAGATTCCTCTGCTGGCCGCAGGATACAAACCGGCAAACTTCCAGCCACAGGCCCAGATCCTTAGCCAGAGACCCACCACACCACCCCTGGTGCATCATAATCATGGTGCATTTCAAGTGATGCTGTTAAAGTTATTTGTGCCAACAAAAGTAAAGTTATCTGTTCTGTTTCCAGCCTGATTAAAGTGTTAAATGGTGTACATCTATTTTTAAGGCATATGGGAGAGACAAAGTATGTCGCAAAAGTGGCATTGGCTCAGTATTGCACACATACATTCCAGAAAGGGGATTAATAGTTAAGACAGAAGCTTTAGACATACAGTATGTAAGAATTGCAAAAGCAAGCATTCAGATAACAGAGCTGTGTATTGCACCCAACCTGATGCTTGCTCCTTCACTGGGGCTGATTCTCCTCGCCCTGGTGACCCCAACAGCGCAGCCCCTCTGTGGCCGAGAGCCTGCAGGAGCTGCTCCATCTCCAGATAGACAGCAGCCGACAGCACAGAGTCCTTCAGGTCGAGTGGTGGCAACGTCCCAGTGTAGATGAACTCCAGGAGCAGCCCCATGGCTTCAGGGGTAAGAGTAGGGCACCCCAGATCGAGCAGAGAGCCCTGACTGGGGAGAAGGGAAGCCAGGAGAGGGCTTGAGGCAGCCAGGACACTTCTGTGGGCTATGTAGAGTTTTTCAGGGTGAAGCTGCAACCTGATCACACAGTCACAGAACTGGCCTGACTGCCTCTGAGAGTTCAGCTCCCTCAGCAGAGTGAGGGCGTGGGAAGAGACTGGGAGAGGACAGGCCATCACCTAGAGAAGGGAGAAGACAGATTTGCGTGTTCCATTCATTTCTCAGAGCCGCATACAGTACAGTAATTCACATAGAATGAGAGAAAGGGACAAATACACAGAGTGCACCAGACTTTCCTTTTAAATGTTTCCACTACATACCATTTAAATGTATTCTGTTTCTGAATCAGGTTGAGAAATAGGTTTCGGTCTCTGTTATGCACTGGAGAATTCTGCTGTGCAATACTTACGTAAACCAGAAACGTTAGGAGTAGGAAATAAATTGGTTGGCATTAACAAGAAATTAGATACAACATCAGACAAAGCCTGTATGGTGTACTGGGTCTGAACACTTTCATTCCTGCATCACTACAAGTACTAAGAGTAGTGGTAAATGACGGCATTAAGCTGCTGCGGTGACGATACACACTTTATGGAGAATTACAGTTAATTAGGGGGATAAGCACCCGCTCTGCTCTCCCTGAAGTCTCCTGCGAGCGCCCGGGTACCTGCGGACAGGCCAGGACAAGAGGCTACGTGCGCTTTCATTCGAAAACAATCACACGGTTTCGCAACGGCGAGCCCTACGTGACTCTGTCTGTTGCAGATAGGGGAGTGGAGTCCCGCTGTCCTGACGTCAAGGTCTCTGAACTCACCGCTGGAGCGCCCTGCCCCAGGACACTGCCTGTGCTCGAGGCTCCAGCGTGATAACCCACCTCCTGATGACGCTCCGTTTTTTTTTTATTCCGTAAAAGGAGTAGCATACACACGCACATGTGACCCCCTAGCCTGAGGTCCAGCTCTGCTCAGGGGGTTGAGTCCAGTGCCGTTACAAGATCTGTCTCTCGCGCGCAGTCCACCGCAATGGAAAGTAAATGATATCCACGTGAACCGAAGACCTTGTGAGCTTCCAACAGGCTAGAGCCGACTGCAGCGGGTTTATTTAAAACGCCTGGCTGTCGCCAGATGACGTTTTCCGGAGATAATAGTTCGTGCGCTTATCGACACGAAGCTGCTCTTTAATCATTAAGGTACAAAACAAATACCGCATATTCTCTTCGCTTTTATTTGTTTCCAATTTATTTTTGAAGGTAAACCCCCTCCCTATATTCTGCGATTTAAAAAAACATGTTCATCTTATTAAATTGCGGGATTCTTAAAACACCCTTCTCACCGAGTCGTGGTTCCTGTCTCACAATCAAAATAGAATGCATTTCTTTAAATAAAAACATCTGAAATAAACTTTACTTAATTGAGCTGCGTAATGCATTTTCACGTCCATGCAACTTTACTTATTCGGTGCAGATATTCTTTTACTGAAAGTTATATTCTACACACATACACCATATACATCATTTACTGTGCACATTTTGTAATGTCACGTATGACAAATGGCTGCCATTAAATTAGTAAAAGTGAGCTGACAAGAAAAACGTTTCTAAACACAAATTTTAAAAAATAAATCATTTTTAGTTTCTAAACCTAATTTGCGTTGTCGTATAGAAGCATTTTAATTCCAATATGAACTAAGACTTCAGAAATCTGTTCCTTCTTTTCCTTTCACTATTCTTTTCCTTGCACAAATTCAAAACAGTGGTAATTCAGAAATTCTGAATGTATAATCATCCTCTTAAAGCAGCTGGTAAAATAAAATACATACCTGTGGTGTTTAGTTAAAAAACTATGAAGAAATAGTTTGTCAGTATATAGCAGAGGCTGTCTGACCACCGGACACAATCACAGCCTTACGGCCCATGCTGGCTATCCAGAACGCCGCGGGTGTGTTTAAAGACTCAGCTGAGAAGCTACGTGCGCTTCCATTCGGAAAATACCATCAGCCGCTGCTAGAGACAAGCTAGACGTCACACCAGAGCACCAGACATCTGTAAGGGGGGGGGGGGCACCCCACCATGACGTCACAAATCACTCAGCTCCTTAAAAAGTGTGTTCCCAGGCTTCTCCAGTGCCGCTGCAACACGCCCCTTGTCCCAGGATAGGTCTTTCCTTCTAATCAGTGATAGATCCGCGGCTGTAATATACAGTTTAGACGTGGTAGTGAATTTCAGTTAATGTTTTATTTTAATGTTAAGGTTGTGTTGTTGTATTGAACTTAAATCGCAAAACAAATTGCCCTTAGGTGATAGTAATAAAATATGAATTGAAATGGACGAGTTTATGAACATTTTGTTTTGACATCGCTGGAGGGATATTGTATTAAGGCGATTATTTACTTTTTAAGTTTTTTATAATATAATATCGCAGTGATTACAAAGGATCACTTACAATGTTTAAAGATCAACTGAAAGCGTTGTGTTAATGGATGCAATAAATATGGACAATAAAATAAACAATATGGCTCATACTGATATTAAGCATTGCTCAGCTTTGTAAAACATCTCTTAGCTTCTTGTCGAGGAATATTTGCGAAACATCCGTTTACAGGCAACAAAACAAAAAATCAATTTATGAAAATAAAACTAAGCGTCTCGTTACGCTTTATCCAGCCACTCATTTCAATGTTTATCTTCTGAAATAACTATGATAATTAAAATGTACAAAAATAATACATTATAGATGTTAACTATAGGTTACCATTATAGGTGGTAACTAACAGTCGTGGGTATATTTAAAATCCGTGTCATACAAAATAAACGCGCTTATTTACATGCAATATGCACAATCTCAGTGGCACCAAACTCACAGCACTCCACTGCTTAGCGCTGAAGGCTCATTTTCAGTTAAGATTACATACAGAACACCCAATTGTCCACGTAAACAAATTCTGAAACTAATTTCCAATAATTATTGATGCAACATAACTCCGCAAACATTTATTTCAGCGAGTTCAATTTCTCCCAGCTAGTTCCATTTCTCCACGACGCACTGTTCTTTTGTGGATGAATATTTGTTTTTAGTGTAATGTTTACGTGGTCTTTGGGACAAAAGGGACACTCTCCTCGATCCCAGGTGTTGAAGAGCCTTGATGTTTCACCTGTAGAATGCAGTTACTGAGCAGAGCAGCCTTCAAACAACGTGTTACTGGCAAACCAAGGTTGGTGAAGAGGTAAGAAAAATGAGTTTTAAACACCCTCGTTTAAGTGTTGTAGCAATAAAATGAAACAGTGCAATTATCTAGGTAGGTACAAACTATTTTCACCACGTTTGCATTGTTTGTTTTTAGTCTGGTGTTACCGGAGTCCTACACGTCTTGACTTTTATTCCACTTCCAGTGAATAAACACCTTGTTTCTGTACACGCAGCTGGTCTCTCAGCCGCATGGAGCGACGCGCTCTGTTTGGCGTCTCTAGCTTGCCGTAGTCCTGATAGCGGATATGGTTGCTGTGGAGGGGGATGTTCTTTCCTTGTTAGCTTTGTCGCCGAGACGGCAGTAGGAGCCCGTCTTTGGGAGAACTTATCGGGTGAAAATGCCGGGAAAGATTGTTGAAAGTGAAGACATCGGGATGGAAGACGATCTTGACACCAGTTTGGAGGACTATAAGCCATCCAAGGTGGGGAAAGGCGATGGTTTATAGCTATAATAGCATTCGTGTTTATACTGTACCCAGTCAGAAGTTACATGGATGCCAAGCACGTGTGTCTGAGAGTGTACACGTGTGTGAGATATTTAAACGTTTTCTGAGAAAGTAGATTTAATTCTTATGACGGGACAACAGAGTAGCATTTGACTAAGGTAATCAATAATACGTATTACTAATTTATCTTTACATTCTGGTATATTTATATAATGTAGTTTCGTTGTTGTAGCACTTGTCAGACAACATGATAAAAGTGTGACGTTCAAATACTTAAAACGGCCATGCTTATGTAAAGGCAGTGAGCTGTGGGTTTTATCCACAAAACATCTTCATGGTTCACGCTGTCAAGTGCCAGGCGTTTTAGGTACCACATGTTGGGTATATACTTGGATTGCTTGTAAACACATTGGACGAAGTATGTTTTTGTTGTTGCTCGGCAGAAACAAAAGAAGGGAAAGAAATCTAAGGATGAAAAGAAACCCAAGAAAAAAAAGGGAACAGTGGAAGGGCAGCCCGATGAGACTGACACACCTCCTCCCAAGAAGAAAAAGCGGGCTTCTGTCGAAGAGCCACCAGCCTCTGAAACGACAAGTAACGGAGACGCCGTCAGGGGCAGCTCAGCAAAGAAACACAAGTCCAAATCCGTCAATGGAACACCATTAATGAAAGATTTGCCTCATTCCAGTGAAGAATCCGGCAGTGATTCTGGCCATGAAACAGAGCCTAAGGTAACGCGTGTTAATCTACTGGTCAGGTTTTAAAGCTGTTCATTTACAAGTGTTGTATTAATGCCGGGAGAGAAGGTAGCTCTTTTCATTACATCTGGAGTTCGTTCAGTCTCTAGGATATCTTTATACCCGGTGGAGTGCAGTGCCATTGGGCTACTTAAGTGTTTATGTTTAGAAGGAAGGAAAAATTGGCAATCACAGGTTATTAATAATTGCTTACACATATACAGCGCTTATCTGGACACTCCACTCAAAGTACTTTACAGGTAATAGGGACTCCCCTCCACCACCACCAATGTGCAGCCCCACCTGGATGATGTGACGGCAGCCATAGTGCACCAGAACACTCACCACACATTAGCTATTTAGTGGGGAGGAGAACAGTGATGAAGCCAGTTCATAGATTGGTATTATTAGGAGGCCGTGATTGGTAAGAGCCATGGGAAATTTGGCCAGGACACCAGGGGTACACCCCTACTCTTTTCAAGAAACGCCCTGGGATTTTTAATGACCACAGGGAGTCAGGACCTCGGTTTTACGTCTCATCCGAAGGACGGAGCCTTTTTACAGAGTATAGTGTCCCCATCACTACACTGGGGCATTAGGACCCACATGGACAGCAGGGTGAGTGCCCCCTGCTGGCCCCACTAACACCTCTTCCAGCAGCAACCTTAGTTTTTCCCAGGAGGTCTCCTATCCAGGTACTGACCAGGCTCACACCTGCTGAGCTTCAGTGGGCTGCCAGGTGTGGGTAGCAGGGTGGTATGGCTGCTGGCATTAAATGTTTAATGTTCCCTACACGCTTCTTAAATCACAGTCATAGCCCAGCATTTGACCTCTATACCTGCAGTACCACTAAAAATAGTGTTGATCTCAGAGCAGCACGAGATGTAATTATCCCAAGAAAAACACCCTTTTGCCCCCCGGCCCCATCCTGTGGTGCCATCAGTTCCAACAGCATCAGCTGCCCTAAAGAACGTTGTGGTGTTTTTCGCTTCCCCATCAGCCGAAGAAGACGGGGAAGGCAGTCGTCAATGGCGTCTCGACAAAGAAGTTGAAACGGCAAGCCAGCAGCTCCCCGGAGCAGGGAGCCTCGGTGCTCACCCCGTCTCATTCCAGCGAGGAATCCAGCATCGACAGCGAGAAGGAAGCGGAGGTATGAAATCCGGCTGGTCCTTCGCGTTTCTAAACCGGCATGCTCAAAGCCTGCTCCTCGGTTTTACTTGAAATACCTGCGTGTGTGTGTTTTAATGGAACATTCTTTTAAAGAGATCCTAATTATCTGACGTCCGCCCTTCATGTGACTCTGTTTGTTACGTGTGCTAGTCTATTTGGTGTTCAGTTGAAAAGTGAAATAAAATCGGGCTTGGTGGAGCTTTACTAAAAAGAAAGGAAGTGAAGATTTTTTAAATTAAGTGGGCATTTCCTTCATGAAGACTTTTTTGTCCCCTGCAGTCGTCAATGTAGACTACAAGAGTTCTTCTAGGACTTCGTAAAAGCTCGTTAACTATATAATTATAAAAAATAATTGGAAATTTAGAGTGGACACCGATGTCCTGCTCGCGTATAAGGCACAGAACGGCTTAGCACCTGATTATTTTAAGGCTTATTGCATGTGTTAACTCCATCTCTTAATGTAGGACATATTGATTTAGGCCTTCTTACTCTGCTGAGTTCTGTTGACATGTTTTTTAAAACTTGCTTAAGGACCTATTTTCCACAGTTGCTTTAATCTGTAATTTGGGTATACTCTTGGTTTTATTAATTCAGTTGGCTGTGCATTTATTTTCTGTTTACTAGTTTCTACACAATTGTGCCGTTTTTTATTTCTTTGAAAGTGCTTATAACTTAAAGTGTAGTACATTACCACTACTTTCACTGTTAATATTTCTATTTGAAATTTCAAACACCCTGCAGAAATTCTGCTAAGACTGAGTCCTAAGACTGTGCATTATTCATTCTAAAGAAGCCTTTCTTTCCTTGGTTACTCAGACTTCAGATCACAGCATTCACAGGCACTTGATACTTTGCCTCTTGTCAGTGTTTAAATACTCCTGGTGGTAAATGTTTCTGTTGAAATCACTCCAGAGGAAAAAAACTGGTGGTGTTTTCTGAACGGGTCATATAAAGGAAGTCCATTTCATTCTGGCTACATTTCTTTTACAAACTGGAGAATGCCTTATATGTGTTGTGTTACACATCGCAAGGATTGGCTTTGCTTATGCATGTTTTCTGTCAGAATATTTAAAGTTTGTGCATATGAACTTGTCAGCAGCATTGTTGAACCACTTTTTGCAACATGTCTTTTCTGTCAAGGTAGAAGTTTGATGTTCAGCCGAACATGTAAAGCTTGATTTTGCACTGTATTTGAACCTCCCCACACACACATATATACTCCTCAGATGCAGTGATTTAAGATAGATGCTGGAATTACACTTGTTCCTCTCTTTGAAGTACCATTGTGTTCTGTATGTGTTTAGGAATTAACTCCAGAACAGAAAGCCGGTGCCTTCTCCAATTTCCGAATCTCCAAAGAAACCATTCAGCTTCTTCAAGGTATTTCATCCCGTCTTACCTATCCATTTTAAACCAGTATTAAGCCTGTAATTGTGCCTCTTTTGACTGATTAGCAACAAAATGGTTGGTGAGTTGATGCTGATTAGTTTATGCCCACCCAGTACCAGAGCACCTGTGTGACGACGGCAGAGGTTGAAAGAGGATGACAATAGAGAGAGACTCTCTTTTTATTTGACAGTGTGCTTCACATGCAAGAGAGGATGAAGCTTAAAATTCATGCTTTTCTGTCATGGTAGTACTCCAAGGGGGATAGTGTTTTCCAGTCCAGTCATTAATCGAGTTGCTCTTTAAAAAATTTTGTGTCTTGAGTAACGGTTGCATAAACACACTGGTTTATGGGTCTCCGTATGTTATTCCGTGTCTTCTGGTGTTCTTGCGGGACAGTTGTAGGACTTCACAGAGCTGTCGCAGCACAGCTGCGGACTCGCCACCCAGCACAGCATTGGAGAGTGATCTCACGATATCTTCATTTTTGTTCTGTACTGCTACTGCATTCTGACTTATAAGCAACAGTGCTTTCACTGAGCATCATCATTCACTTCTCTTCTTCTCTGGGGGCCGTGAGTGATGTTAGCTGGCAGCTAATACAGTCATTTCTGTGCTATGTTACTGTTTACAATGATGGTAAAACACAAGAAAAAGAACCCCTGTACTTCAATAATACAAGCATGGTCTGTCTTTATGTACCTCTCTCCTTACTGAGAACTACCACTTCATCCACATTAAACCCATAAATGAGAGAGGAAAGCACAGGTCTATTTCTTGAAATATTAGTAGAGTTTATAAGTGCTGTTTATATTTTATTTCTTTCCCTATGATACTTAAAATCAGTTAGAAACGCTGGTTTTAAGCCCAAATGGAGCTGATGTGCATGACAAATAAAGCCCACTAGAGGGCATCATTTACCAAAAATTATTTTGGGTGTTACAGGAACCTTTAAGCATATACTACCATTGAGTTCAGACATGTGGAAATCTATTGTCAAAAGTCTGCTTTGACTTATCCTGCTGTTCTTTTTTCTTTGTTGCTCACCCTAGAAGAATTGTTTTCGAAGATAATGTTCTCACAGTCTGACATTTTTAACAGGTAGAGGACTGCAGCTTAGCTGCTGATCTCCATGTCTTTCTGTTATCAATGTAGGTGTGGTGCACAAAAGTAAGCTATGGCTTCCCTCTGCAGAATCTGAAGACATTTAACATTACTCCCTGTGTGGTTTCCTGTCCCTCTGCTGTAACCGTGTCCCTGTGGGTTCTAACTGCGTCTCCTGCCTTCTCCGTGCAGCGAGGGGCGTGACGTACTTGTTTGACATCCAGGTGAAAACCTTCGACTTCGTTTTCGATGGGAACGATGTGGTTGGTCAGGCGAGGACTGGCACAGGAAAGACCTTCTCCTTCGCCATTCCCCTCATCGAGAAGCTGCAGTCGTCTCCTGAAGAGAGGAAGAGGGGGAGACCCCCCAAGGTAGGGTGACCGGACAGCTTGGATTTAACCCCATTTTCAAGACCTGTCTCTGCCATCCACTTTTTTGACGGGCTGGGCATCTGTACTTTTCTCTTCTCAGCCAGTTACTCGTATCCCTTTATTTGGTTATATGTGTGTGTATATATACTGTAGGTTGTATATTGCAGTGGCTGCAGGCCCTGGTCAGGACTCGCATGACACTGCCACTGCTCTGTCCAGTGCTGGGATTTCCCTTGAAACAGTCCTCATCTGGGTGACATGCAGCAGCAGGCCCACCCAGACCCTAGCACATCAGAGACAGGAGATGGGGCAAACCACTTCAGCTGAATAAAGGGGGGAATTTAGGGAGGCCAGTTTGTGCAAGCTCACAGAGGAGTGTAGCCAGGCCATGGGGGTGATACCATGAGATATTAAATGACCAAGTAGTCCGGATCTCAGTTTAACATCTCACCCACAAGACGGCACCTCCCTGCAGTTCAGTGTCCCTAGGCACCATGCTGGGGCATTGATCTGGAAATTCTGGTTTGGGGAAAAGGCGCCACCTACAGGTCCATCAGAATTGCTTATTGCAGTGATCTGGATTTCTCCAGCTATTTCTTATCCCAACACTGATCACTTATTTTATGTGAAATACGTTTTACTAAGGTTATTTTCACAGTATTTTCCCAACAGTTTAACAGCTTTTTCTTTGTCATCACACAGATGCATATGAGTATAATTTGTGTATAATAACACTTCCACCAACAATTTCATTAGTTGATATACAAACTTGTATATTCCCATGTAAGACTTGATCGGTGTCACTGATTTTGTCTGAACGTCATTGCACATTAGTCTGATATGAATTACAGAAACTAGCTACTTTTAACAGTGTAAGCAGTATAGTTGTCGAACAACAAAAACTAAAATAATTTAGCTTCATTTAATTAGTGGTTTTAACTGTTAGAGATAATGTTGTAAAGGCAGGATTCTCAAATGACATTTAGTTTCAAACAATTTCTTTACTTTCTGGGTACTGCTTGATAGATGAGACAAATTATGAAAAGACCAGCAGTCTCTCAGATAAACTGCAATGTCAGCAACAGGAAGAAGAATATTACTGGGAATTATTTAAATGTACTACACATACACTGTATGCTGATATGCTGTAATATCAGGATTTTTTAAATGAAATGTACATACAATAGATTGTAATCACCATTAGTGTCATGTTTCAGTTGTATACCTGTGTAGTTAAATATAGTATCGGGGCATCTTGCGTGTCTTAATCAATTGAGGCTTTCTCCCAAATGCAGGTTGAGCTCTGTGATCATGGAAAAACACAGGGCATTAAAACATTTATTATGCTCAGGTACAGTAGTGTTTCGCCACCTTGTGAAGAAAGTGGAGCGCTTTACCCATTTTGTATCTGATGGTCAGTGGAAGGAAGGTGTTACACACAGTGCTATCACAAGAATAATAAGCAATAAGAGTAAAAAGAAATGTTGCAAAAGAACAATACAGGATAATACCGTGTAGAAAGGAAGGAAAAATGCAACATTGGGCTGTGAAGCCATCTCCAGGTGTGAGGAGATGATAAAAGTCATCTATTTTAGTTACAACAAATGTAAATGAGAAGCCTCAGAAAGAAATGGTCATGGTGGAGGATCAGATCAGTAGAGCTTGGAACAGGTCTGGGAAAAACAGGGAGGGCATCTCATGAACTGAAGCTTTGTCAAATGTTATGTTTGTTGTTTAAAAATTGGGAAAGCACATTTTCTGTAGCTAAATGATGGTCGTCAGGAAATTAATAGACAAAGAAGCTGTAGAGGTGACAGTTATCCTCATTTGTCAGCACTGGGGTTGTATTGCATTTAAGGCTAAATAACCAGCAGGACAGTGGGCTCTTTAGTCTTTATGAGGTTAATTTTACTTTGTTGGGGTTGTTTTTTATTATAGAGCCCATACTGCAAAACAGCTTTACAGATTTTTGCACAGTTACTAACTCTTTTGTTCCCTTACTGGGATGACACAAAAACACGGACCTCGTTAATATCATTCACTGCATGGTGCAGTTTCAAGCCTCAGTGTGTCTGTAGCTTAATGTCAATGGTTTGTCACTGTTATCCTTTTTTCCCCCTCATCTGATCCTGTTTTCCACAGTTTGTTCAGTTGGTTGGAAACGGATAGTGTAATTTACATTTCTGCCGATGCTTGTTTGTTTTCAGTCTAGCGTGGAAAATGTTATATTTGGTTGAGTACTGAAGAAGAGCGGTCGTGGACTTTCCCTTATTACTTATTTCCTTGGAATTACCTGTGGTGAATAGTGGGACAATTGTGTGTAATCCTCAAAGGCAGTTTGTGTTAACTCGGAAAGACAGGGAGAATCTCGCCAGCCCAACCTGCCCTTACTTTGTTGGCACGTGGTAACCATGCCTGGGGCAACCCGCAAAAAACAGAGCTTTCGTACAGGAGAAGACTCTGCCAGCAGATTTATTAAGTATTTACATGTTGTTTCCTAGGTGCTTGTTCTTGTTCCTACAAGAGAGCTAGCCCTTCAAGTGTCAAGAGATTTCAAGGACATCACAAAGAAGCTATCAGTGGCTTGTTTCTATGGTGGAAGTCCCTACAATCCCCAGTGTGAGTTTTTTTTTTTTCCCCACTCTTTACAATTCAGTGGAAATACATTTCTTGAGACAGTGTATTGGGCAGTATAGAATTCAAGGTGACTGCCATAGATGCAGTTGGAAAAGGAAGTCTTGAATCAGCCGAGTTATCATGCTGATTATTACTAGCTAATTATTATGCCAATACGTTTCCCCCTTATACTTCCCTGCACGCAACTGAAACAAAGCTGTCAAAGAATAATTTAAAGTTATCCAGAATGTATAACATAATATGTGGAAGATAAGCAATTAACATTGGCACTATGAAGTTGTAGTTGTCTGTTTAGTTCATTCATCAGGTTGCTCCCCTACGATATACTTCTTTAGTTTTCTCAATTGTGCCTTTTACAAATATTATTTATTTTTGGCATTTGTATTTTCAAGTATCTTAGCAAATAACAGACTTTGTTGTTTGGTTATCAAAAAAGAAGAGAGCTGGAACTTTTTTCTGAATCCTTGTTTCTCCAGTGGATAATATACGCAATGGCATTGATATCCTTGTGGGCACCCCGGGGAGAATTAAAGACCACCTTCAGAATAACAAGCTGGACTTGTCCAAGCTGGTGCACGTGGTTCTGGATGAAGTGGACCAGATGCTGGATATGGGCTTTGCAGAACAGGTAGAGGAGATCCTGTCAGCTGCCTATCGGAAAGGTAATTTATTTTATTTATATGAGGTTTTTTTTTTCTTCAAAGGTTTAGGAATGTCTGTGATCCCAATAAGGAAATCTTTAGAAGGACTGCTAAAACAAAATTTCATTTTACTGTAGACATCATCCTGCTGTGGTTTTTACATGAGGTTTCCCATGGATAAAAATATGTTTTTATTTGGTTTGGTTATGGATTTATAATCTTAACTTAATGTTTAGCTGCTGTCGGATACACTTCATCACCTGACAAATTATGTATATCTGTATCTTTGTGTATAATAACGAAAACTGAAGTACTCTTTCTTGGTCAAGTTCTTTATACTTCTGTTTATTGCAATGAAAGTAACAGTTTAATTTCTGTGTTTAGTATACATTATTGAATTGTATTCATTTAGGATTAGAGAATTTAGTATGTAACTAACCTTTTGGTTACTATTATAATATTTGGAGACAGACCAACTTATATTAGCAAATCCAATTCAAATGCAAAATTGAAATTATGACCAGTCTGCTTGAAAGAGGGGAGGATCAGTGATTTAAGGATGGAATTTTGAGTGTTCAGGGTATGGAGGGACATCATCGTAATGTAAAGATCATGACTGAACACTTGCTTGATTTTTAAACAGACCTGCACAGAGTACAGCTGGTATCCTCATTTAGACCAGATACTTTCACTCACTTCAGATAAGAATTAAACATGAGTGCAATTTGCTATGTGGTGTATGTTTTTGTAAAGTGGTTGGCTATAGTCACATTAAGAATTACTGTACTAGATGTGTGTATTTTCTCCTATTCTCGAGTTTTGCTGGCGATTCTGCGCATCTCATCTAAATCCCACTTAGCTGACTGCACTTACAGCACCAGTTGGTTTTGCTTCAGGATCTTTGCAGTGATCCAGCTTTTTTGTGTTTCTCTTAGATTCTGAAAACAACCCTCAGACACTGCTATTCTCAGCCACATGTCCCCACTGGGTGTATGCCGTGGCCAAAAAGTACATGAGACCCGAATACAACCATGTTGATCTCATCGGTCAGAAAACCAAGAAGACTGCCACCACAGTGGAAGTAAGTGTGTGCAAAGTCTTTTTTTTTTCCCCCATCCCCTCGCCTTGTCCCTTGTCTGTAAAGGCACCCTGTGTGTTTGACGGCTGACCCTGGTGTAAAAAGATGAAGCAGTGAGCGGTAGCAATGAAACAGTTGACGTGCGTCGTAACAGACTGAACTGTTTTTTAAATGCATAGGAACAAGTAAAGGTTACTTAATCGCTGAAAAGTAGGAGGAAGAAACGCAGTATTTTGGGGTTTTTTAGCCTTCTTCAGGTGCCGCCTCAAAAACGATGTCACATTCTTTCTTCAGAACTAAGCGGTTCATTTATTTTAGGTTGTTGATATAGGGCCTTCCTTTGGGCACAGGAAAAATAATGTTCTCTTGACTGAATCCAGAACAACAATATCCTTTTTAGTTATGTGGCAACCAAAGTTGTAGACAATAATCTATTAATGAGGCCTTACTAGTGGATCTTACAATTAAAATACTATCCCTTGATTGTCAGTGCTTTATTTAGTGTCAGTTGATATATTTTATCTGTCCACAAAACATACAGATGTGCTTCTAGGGGTAAAATCTAGTGCGTGAATTGTGATGTGGAAACAAATATTTTAACAGCTATGTGCAGGATATCATTAGTAAATATTATGGAACAAGTAATAGTTTTATTCCATGCTGAAAAGAGAAGAATAAAAACACAACGTTTGCGCTGTGGAGCCAGGTGTGAGCAAACGTTTGCGGCCTACGCCAGCTGACGCAGCTACCCACCAGAACTACTTCAATATATATATTATAACTACTGTAAAGCTAATATGCTGCAAATGAATGAAAAAAAGCTTGGAGTGAAAAATTTCCTTGTGAGATTGCAGTTATTCAACATGCTGTAAAAACATGCTTTCAAGGATATTGGTCTGTTAAAACTCATACAGTAACTTTAATTTAGTCATTTTTAAATGGGGATCTGGTTCTGAAACAATGAATCAAGCAATTTTATAAAGTGAGCAGTTTGAATGCACTCAAAGATAGATCCCTCCTGTGATCAAATCTACATTTCAGAAATATCAAGCAAGTTCTGACTTGAGATCCCACATTACAGCTGTACGGTTAAATACTTCTTTTATAAGTCACAGTTGCAGGGGGTAGTACTTTGAAGTTCGGAGGTAGGTGAAGAATGTTGAGAAGTTCCCTGGAATCATGATGTGATGCCAATTTATCAGCAATTCTAAGAATCTAGTGTTTGTCCTGAGCAGTTCCGCAGAAGAGGCATTATTGTTGTTGTGGCAGACAGACTTGTCAGACTGGTCTAAGAGCGTTAAATAAAATATCTTTAAATAACACCTGAAACTTTAAAACCAAAGGAGAAAAGACACCTTCATTTAAAAAGTGTAAGGTTTAAGGCATCATACCAAGAACTGACTACTCTAAAATGTATTTCCGTGCATTACATTTTATTACACACTTTATTACATTACATTTTGTTACACACTTCTTGATTGAGAAGATGCGAGAGGCGAGGTTACGGTGGTATGGACATATCATGAGGAGGGAGTTGAGGAAGTAACAAAGAGGGTAATGGAATTTGAGGTGGAAGGTAACAGAAGAAGAGGCAGGCCTAGAAAGAGATGGATAGATTGTGTGAGAAAAGATATGGAGGTATGTGAAGTGAGTGAGGAAGATGTGCTCCACAGAGACAAGTGGAGAAGAGCAACCAAAGCAGCTGACCCCAGGACAGTCTGGGACTCAGGCTGTGAAAAAGAAGAAGAAGACATTTTATTACACACTTTGTTAAGGTCTGTTAGTTAATTCTATCAAAGTATGATGGACCTTCCTGGTAAGGAGCTCTCAGTGAGCTGTTGACATTGAAATAAGCCATGTATAATCAGTTTATTGTAGTACAGTACTGATAACTATAGTATAGCAATGAACTATAGTCATCTATTCTGTACAACAGTGTCAGTCAGTAGTGAATCAATTACACAACATTAAATAAAAACACATACAAACAGATCAATGGGTTTCAGGAACATCATCCAGAGCCAGAAGACAGTGTTTTAGCCAAGTAATCCACAATTTCTGTTTCACATTTTAATGGGACAAAAATAAAAATCCCTGTGTTTTAATCAAACCTGACTCTCCTTCCTACAAAATGGATGTCCAAAAGTGAATGGAATAAATCATCCTATTCTAAAAAGGTGGTGCCTATTCTATAAAGACACCACCAAACTAGGAGAGAGCGTTTTTAGTTTGGGAATTCCACAATACAGGATATTAGAACTTCCTAAAATAAAATAAATCGGCAAACTCTATAATAAAATTCAGATTACTTAGCCAATTATCTGGTCTCTAAGATCGATCAGAGCAGGGCCCTCGTACATTGCACAAGATCATAGAAAGAAAAGGGTGGTGGTTATGTTCCTTCTCTCTCCCTTGTCTTCCTGTCTCCTTATATATGCTGTGCTTAATAGCTGTTAAAGGATTTAAGTAATTGAAAAATCAATTGAACTTTACTGCAATTAAGCAGAGTAAATAACCAGAAACCCCCTTTTATCATCTGTTTACCTATCTCTTGGCATTCCTGCATCTGGGGAGATACCTCAAATGATATCCATTGCCTTATAGTTTCTTACTAATGCAAGTAAGGCCTTGAGCAGATTAGATACGAACTGCAAATGACAAGCCATGAAGTTGTGCCTCATGTTTGCCCTTTTCTATACCGTTCAGTGTATCCCTGTAAATCCATATTAATTTTCTAATGTATAGGGATCTAGTCCTCTCCACAGGAATTAAATGCTCTGACTCGTAGGTGAAATAGAATTGTGATGTTTCAGTGTAGCTGCTGGTTTTCCGATGAACATTTTTTTCCACTTCTTTTGTGTGCTGCTTTTTTCAGTGCTTTTGAACACTATCAGCTGCAGTTTGTGCTAGCTACAGAATTGTATTGCTTTGTGAAGAAAGAGTTTAGGTATTTAATTTCATGACTTCAAACTTCCTCATGATAAGTTAAAACTTTTGATCCAGTTCCCTAGAAGATAGTTTGTGAGCAATTGACTGCTGCATTCCAAACCCTTAAGGGTCAGACAACAGTATTCGGTTGTCTCTCAATGAGTCACCAGGCCAGTTTCAGTTTTTTATTTTTGTGTGTTTAGTTGGACAAACACTTCATAGGTCACATCTTGGTATAAAGCAGTTGTCAAAATACCTCACAGTTACAACCCCTATTTCTTGTTATTCTAGTGAATACAATTTCAGTAAACAACATTTAGTAAAATGACAAGAAGCGTTGGGGTATTAGATTAGGTTGTTGTGTCGTCTCAGGCCAGGCTGCTTACTCACTTCGCTAAGGGACTCGTACCTTCTCATGACATCAGCCCATGTTTCAAGCTGAAACTGCAGATGTGCCCGATTCATTTTTGACCATCTTGAACTCTTTAGTTCGTTCTGCTCTCTTTCAGAGTGTGTTTCGCACACCGTATACGGCAAGGGGAAGTGGGATTGTAAAATGAGCAGTGAACGCTCACTGTACGCGTTGCCTCTCTTATAGCACTTGGCCATAATGTGTCACTGGACCAAGCGGGCATCGGTTATAGGAGATGTCATCCAGGTGTACAGTGGGAGCCACGGACGCACAATTGTCTTCTGCGAGACCAAGAGAGAAGTCGACGAGCTGACGCACAACGAGTCCATCAAGCAGGTGCGATTTGCGCTTCAGTTATCTTGTGACGCTTCCAGTCGTGAAGTCTTGGGATATTTAAACCCTTAAGAACAGATTGCCTAGGTGAAAGCGTCGCATGTGAAGGGAGTGAGCCACCGTTTTTATTCCAGTGATGTGATGTGTCTGCCTCCTGTGCAGGTTGCCCAGCCCTTGCACGGGGATATTGCTCAGAAGCAAAGGGAGCTCACGCTGAAGGGCTTCAGGAACGGGTCTTTCGAGGTCTTGGTGGCCACGAACGTAGCAGCTCGGGGGCTGGACATTCCAGAGGTCGACTTGGTCATACAGTGTTCCCCGCCAAAGGTGAGAAGCTGAAAATGGCCAACACCGCCAATGAAAGATTAACATGCATTTTGGCCTTGAAACTCGTTTCAAACTCGTTTCTTTTTGCAGTCATAAAATTCAAGTCCTTGATGGAATTTCACCAAACATTATTGTGAATATCCTCAGTTTGTTCTCTGTCATGAGATGGTGCTCTTTATTTACGCTGTCAGTATTTTCTCTAGACTCCTTCAACCAACTTCTATCCAGCTCCTCATTGTACAGAGTGATTGACTTGCTTATGGGTTATTTTTTTCCTTCAGGATGTGGACTCCTACATCCATCGTTCTGGTCGAACTGGCAGGGCTGGCCGTACTGGAGTTTGCATTTGTTTCTACCAGCACAAGGAAGAGCAAATGCTCAGATATGTGGAGTACAAAGCTGTAAGTTTCAGACTCTGTTGCTTTGTTTTTGTACAGTTTGTGAAGTGAGGTTAATTTGTTCTAGTCAGCAAGGATATTTCTAGGTTTGTAACCCTGTCTAATTTTGCCTTTCTTTTAGGGTATAACATTTAAGAGAGTTAGTGTCCCAACTGCACATGAAATCATCCAAGCTTCCAGTAAAGATGCCTTAAGGTATGCTGCTAACTCGCTACAGTCCTCTAAAATTGTGTGATAAGTGCCATAATGCATGTAAAACTCAGATTATACACAGATTCCAGACATATCTGTGGTTTTGGAGTCTAGATTTCCTGATTTGCATATTCTATTTCCTTCACTACTGCAACTGAAATGTAAAACTGCAGTTTAATAGAAATGGAATAAAAACTTTGTACATATGAGGAACTTAACAGTGGAAATGTTAAAAATTTCTTTTTGAATCTCCGTTAAAAAGTAATCGTATAAATCTACTACTGTAACTTTTGACAGTCAGAACGTGTCCTTTTGTGCAAACGTAGTAGGTCAGCTTCAGTTAACCGACATGTTTTCTGCTAAATATGTGAGCTGAGGCCAAAAAAGGACTTAAACAGAAAATAGCAAAAATAGAAAACATGTAACTTTATAAAAAGAGCCGAAAAACCCTTGATCAGGGATTTGTCAACTTCTGTTAACCTGTCTCAGGATCTGTCCAGCACTCTTTGGTTCAAGTGTGCAGTCTTTCTACCTGTAACCTGAATAATGGTACAAGCATGCCACTTAATTGGATTCCCCTTATCTCTTTTTTTTTCCTTAAATTTAAGTATCTGTAATTATATTTGTTATACCCAGCCAATTTGGAAGTGCCAGCTGTGTGTTTTTCATGTCTCAGCTTGCCCTCACGAACCCAGTGATGGCACACAGGGCACGACAGTAATGCAGAAACAGACTCCTCCTGCCTGCTCACCTTCAGTCTACTTCTAACACATCGCGTACACCACTTCTCTGTCCTGGAGGTTGAGCTTCAGGAGTGGCATGTCTCTGTCGCCGACGGCACCGCATGCCTGCAAGCACCAAGAGGCCACTGGGGTCACTGTGTCCCTGAATGCTTATAGAGCCTGACCGATTCTTCCTACAGTACCCTTGGGGCACTCAGCCTCCTGTGTACCGCACAGGGAATCCGGTCCCAGATGGCCAGTGACAAGACCCGGGCTCAAACTAGTCATCTTGGAGCTTAACCTACGTTTGGCTAGCGCCTTTCCCCGTTGAGTCACTTGAGAGAGGCCCTGCTTCCCCTTTTCAGAATTAGAAACTAGGCTTGGCTTCAGCATGGAAGTGTTGTCTCCCCACTTAATATTATAGACGTAGTTCCCATTAATGAAATTTGCCATTGGAGGCTGCATATTTGTGCCATTATAGTGGGCGGTCCTTTCATGTGTACGCTGGGCGTTGGCCAATGGGTCGATCTGGCTCATTGTTGGACATGTTATTCAAAGTTTTTGGAAGTGTTAAAGTTTAGAGTGGAAAGGGGGGTCGGGGTGTGCACGGGGGTGATGTGCTGCGGTCACATATCTGTCGCTTTTGCCAACGCAGGTTTCTGGATTCAGTGCCCCCAGCTGCTATCGAGTATTTCCGCTCGGCAGCAGAGAAGCTGGTGGAAGAGCGAGGGGCAGTAGAAGCCTTGGCTGCCGCCTTGGCACACATCTCTGGCGCCAAGTCCATTGAACAGCGCTCTCTGCTGTCCTGTGATGCTGTACGTATACTCACATTCATGTGCTAATAAACGGCTGTTGGTATCCGGACTTTTCAAGTTAATCTATTCCATTTTCAGTTTACAGTGGCCATGGCCCACTATCAGAAATCTTAAAAGTTCTGTAAAGGAAAATATTCATTAACTTTCGAGATGACTTGAGCTGTTTGAATTGAAATATAGATTAGAAGCTCCTATTTCATTTGTAGTTTGTAGAGAACCAGGATAGGACGTGGTTCATGATAATAGAAATTATCTCAATAAATCAATTGATCAATGCAGTGCGATTTTTGCTCAGTTAAAGATCTGAGAAGTTACAGCACAGTTTGGGGTAGTTTTGAAATAAGTTTCTTAAGACCCTCTGGAGAGCTAAGCAGAGAAACACCATTGCTTGTTCATTTTTATAACGTGGATGCAACATGAAAAGCCTGTGTTCCCAGAAACATTAATAAAAATATATATAAATATATCTAAACCTGAATAGACACTTCAAGACTAAGACTTCATGTCCAGCTGCTCAACAGTGTCACTTATTTGACAGAATCCCAGTCGGCTAAATAAAGTGTTTGGATATTTAGATGTGTTTTTTTACATGAAGAAATATTGCAGCACCTATAGGTATAGATACGGCAGTGCCAGACATTGCCTGTAAGTGACTGTGCATCCTTTCTCTGCTGCTCTTCTCCTGTAAACAGTGCCTTTCCCCACTTTTCCTTCGGTGAGTCGATTTCTTAACATCAGAAAGTCAATATTTTTATTTTCTTCACCCAGGGCTTTGTGACTATGGTGTTGACCTGCTCAATAGAAATGCACACAATGAGCTATGCCTGGAGGGGGCTGAAGGAACAGCTTGGAGAGGACATAGACAGCAAGATCACGAGATTAACCTTCGTAAAAGGGAAGACTGTAAGTACTGCTCCATGCACTTGTCTGTGGGATTCTTGTCAAGTATTCAAGTTACAAGTTACAAACCAAAATGTGAGTTAGTGTGTGAACATTAGAAAAATGTGCACTAATGTCCCTGGTGATCTAGTGTAACACGCAAAAACATGACCAGTGTTTTTGGAAGAAGCTTCTTTTTTTCTGGAATAGTGCATGAAGGTCAGAGCTGAGAAGGCACAAAGCCATATTCGTTTTGCCAGTTAAATGTACTTTCCTATGCAAAGGTTTGTTGAAGACCAACAGATCAGGCAGGCCATTAATTTATCTGTGCTGTAAGCAGAGGTTGCTGCCTCAAGGAGAGTGACTTTCTGATTAGAATAAGACTGGTACATATAGTGTGAGGCATGTAGTTGAACTCTGAAATGCTCCCAGAGGCATCAATATCCCAGTCCTATCCAGCATGAACTCCAAACTTCGTCCTTCCCAATGGCATAAAGTACTCATGGAAAGACCTTATTCTAGCCTTAGTCAACCCAGTGGATTTTGTCCAAATGCACACTGAAACGCCAACCAAAGAGCACAAGTTGAAACTAAATGGAAGTGCATTTAAAACTGAGAACTGAAGGCACTGCTTTACCCAAAGTATGGAAGTAACTACTCAGCCAATATCCTGGCTTCATTTGTGAAGCAATTGGATGAGATCCTTGGATCAACTGAGTACCAAACAGACTATGTGCACTGAATGGTCTAGTCTCATGTGTAACAGTTCTCATGTTATTCACAGCACGCTGCTTTTGTGCAACTTCTCATTTTTTCCTTGTGTTATTTTTAGGGAGTATGCTTTGATGTCCCAGAAGAAAACGTGAAGGAGATCTTGGTAACAACTGGTTGATTTTTGTATAGTCCAATGTATTGTCGACCCTTCGAAACATGTCATTGGAAAGACTAGAGGGGCAAGACTGGTTTGTTCTGAACCACTGGAGACAAAGTCCATGCACATGTGATGGAACTCTATAGCCAAGCATCGTACATCATCAGTTTGAAGCTGGAGCGCACGTATTGGGTTTCCAAGCCAGCAGCTTAGAAGCTTAACGCTCAAGCTGATGGGGAGTGATGCTACTGCTTCAAATTACACAACATTACGTGTTAAAATAATCTTTGAGTTATCTTGGATTGCTTAGCTTGTGCTTGGTAACATGAAATATGTGCTCTTGCTGCTAGAAGTTTAATCAAACAGAAAGTGTGGATACATGTTTCAACTCTGACATGTTGTCATGACAGGTGTCTGACATGTGTTTGATTAACCAGTTCCCGTGCCATTTCTCTGCAGAGATGGAAAACCTCTCCCATATTTTAGTTCCCTGGTCTTTCCAATGGGGTGTATTTATTTAATGCTTTAACTTGGAGAAAGCAAGTGTTTTACACACCTTGGCCAGCTTTCACTAATGCTGAAAAACTGTCTTACACAGGAAAAGTGGCAGGACTCCCGCCGCTGGCAGCTATGTGTGGCAACGGAGCTCCCCGAGCTGGAGGAAGCTCCCAGCAGGGACCACGGCTCCAGGTTCGGAGGCAGATCTTCCTTTGGCAGAGGCCGAGGGGGCAGGAACGACCGGAGCAGAGGGGGCAGGAACGACCGGAGCAGAGGGGGCAGGAACAACCGGGGCAGAGGAGGGAGGAACGACAGACGGGAGGGTCAGAAAAGAAACTTTGACCAAGCATTTAATTACTAACCTGGACTAATGACGCTTCTGAAACTTTGGAAATGGCTGTCGGACTGCAGCAGAATCCAGAAAACTGCGTTGCCGTCTTTCCTCTTTTCCTGCTTTCCTTAAAAACATGGGACAGTTGCTGCGCAGTTGCATATTATATGTAAGCCCATTCACTTGAATGAGACCAAATTCATTAAAAGTGTTCTTAAAAAACAATTTTACTTCTTTCCAATAGTTTAGTATAAAGTTTGAGTTAAGAAATGACATCGAGAGATTTGTCGGCAATCAAATATATCTCCTTTCTCTCACCACACCCTTTTACTCAGGATAAAACTTTTTTTCCCTCAGCTTAGATTAAACCCAGACGATACCGAGGTTGTGTTGTTTACATGTTCCAAGTCCTGGAGGCCCACATGTTACCCCCCAAACTCTGACACCTCTTATTAATTTATTTGATGTGCTCCTGAACAGCACAGGGATGGACAACGTTTTTTTTCCCCTCAAAGTCCATGAAGGACACACTCCCTCCAAAACCATTTTTCCTTTTTTTTCTTTTAAAAAAAACTCACTTCTCAAGCTTCTACACCGTGAGGTAACTGTAGAAGCAATACACAACATATCTCCACAACACATTGCATAGCAAGCGGCAGTTTTCACTGGGTGCTACACACAAAGCACTCAGTTACAGCTGAACACTTGATGTAGAAATGGGGTTTAGTTAAACTGATTGTTTTTCTCTTAAACCTGTTGGAGGCCGCCATTTAGTTATTGAATTTCATAAACAACTTAACAGTCTAAACCTTTGAGCTGGAAAAACAAGACTTGCACATGTTCCAATCAAGCAACTTGTTAGTTTAATTAAAGGTTTAGTTACTGAAAGATCACTCACATTACATAACAGCACGCACCTCTCAAAAATAAGCGACGGATAATAATGAAGCAAATGGTATATGATTATCAATCATTAGCAATATGCTCTCACTTTGGGTCCAGGGAATCAAGTAAGGGAGGGGATTTCACAGGTAGCTGGCTCTCAGATCAATGAAAGGAACTATTAAGGTGTTCTTGTGAGCATCTTTGCAGAAGGTGTCATTAGTTGTATATATATGATTGCAAAAAACAGCAGCAACAATTTTAACTTTTGCAGCAAAGCTTAAGTGAGTTTATACCTGTTAATCTGAAGAGTAAAGCACCGAGTTATATGCTGAAAAGGGGAAAAGTCAAACCTTTGGGCTGTGCAAGCTTTTTCAGGTGTGTTGGAAATGAGAGAGACCAGAACAAGAACTCAACAGGCAGGGGGAGGCACAAATGAAAGAGGGGTTTCAGTGCTTGTATTAACAGTTCAAAGAGGTTCTGCTTTTTGTATATGTGAAGTATGGAACGAAGCAGGTGTTTGTTGGATGCTGCCTCCCTTTAGCAGCAAGTGACAATTTCATTCCTCTTTTCATTATCATCTAAAATGTCATTAGTCATTGCAGGTGTTGTATTCTAGTGGGTGAAATGTGAACTTCCAGCAGAATCTTATCTTTACAAAGAGCTGCTGCTGCTCTGCCAGAGTAAATGTAAAAGCTCCTGAGATTAGTAAGCTTCAGAACACTCCAATAAGTTATTTTCATTAGTGAGATTTTTGACTTTCCAAAGCTCACAGCAATTGGGCAATGTCCCGTTTAAGTTTTTAGCTTTATTTGATTTTTACAATAATTTTCCAGCACCAGTCTCAAAAGACCTCTTCTGCAAAGGGTGACAACTGAAGTACAGGGCAAAGGAGGCAATAGTGTTTTCAGTTTATTTGAGGGCAGAAACTTGCGCATGTAAATGTAAATTTAAGACTGGCATGAGGTTCAATTCCATTTCAAGATCGATTGCAGCACTTGATGAATTTTCAGATCACTTGACTCAGCAAGAACAGATAGCTCCATGCTGTTGTAAGGTGTGCTCCTGGATATTTACTCTGCTCTTTGTGCTTTTCATCAAGTGAGATTGGTGCCTAGGATCCAATAGAGGGGCTTAGATTAGGGGACTGTGTGTGCTTTTTTCAGACTGCTTCAATAAATTCTCTTCAATTCCACTTCTCTTTTCTGAAAAATCGAAAATTGAAGATCGGTTGTCTACGTCACTTGGGAATGTACTTTTAGGTAAGTCGGTTGTTAACGTAGCGTGCTAAGAATTAACGTTGATAAATCTGTAAGGATTCCAATCATGCTCTGGTATCATCTTACACTTGTGAAGATAAATAAATAGCATCATTATAGGCAGAAGATCTAAGCAGAGATATTGCAGAGAGCCCTCCTTGTCTTTTATGAGGCCTATCAAATAAGTCATCCACTGTCATAGTAGTATGTAACCATGTATTCGAAATGAAAGACATAATTAAAAAACAATGTGGTTTTGGGTGTTCACTGGTTGATCCAGAGGTGATAAAAATGACGTACAAGTGCAAACTTTGTGTAATTGGCCACAAATCCTGTAGGCATTCAGTACCTGTACAAATTTGAACCCATTTGTGATGCTCTTATTATCCTTCCTTTAAGAATTGTCAGTATTGTCCTTACAAATACAGTACCGATCTATGTGTGGATACCTGCAAGGTACAGAACCTTAAGTGACTTTCAAGTCTCGAAAGGTGAATTGGCAACGGCATCAGTGCTGCAGGCCAAAGATGAAAGAAGAGAGGCGACTTTTTATTTTAATTGGAAATTACATTTGCTTGTCATCATGTTTTAAATCATGTTGGTTATCACAGCTTCTTCTAGATTCTTTGGCATTGCAGTCTTTTTCTGTGGAAGTGTTCTGTCAGACAGTCAAAATTAAACTTGCCTGTGAAAGACAAGGGAAGCATGGATTATTAAGTTAGCAATATAGCCAGATGTGCCTGTGTTTGAGGATTGAACATTGAAGTAGCTCAAGATGAAACTACTGTGTTTAGTAGTAACACAGGTGTTAAGTACAGCAGCCAGAGGAAACCCAGCTCGGAGAGAATGTATAAACTCCCTGCCAATCGCACCCCAGGTCAGGTACTGAACCCAGGGCCCCGGTGCCACAGGACAGCAATGCAAAAAACAGCGCCTCTGTGCCGCCCGACCCATACTCTCTTGTGCTTCAGATGTTTTTGAGGATTTTCTCTGAAGCTTTGGTTGTCTATGCATCCGTTTGAATGTCTGGCCAGTGCTGGATGTGCAAAGATTTTAAAATATTTTGAGAGAAAAAGACTTTATTCTTACTGCCACACATCTGTTTACCAGCATCTGAAAACCTATGGTTTGTTATATAAATTGTCTGCAGGATTCAAATTCGTATGTTTTTACTTATGGAAAGAGGTTGAATTTTCCTATTTTTTATTGACCTGTAATCCGAATACTTTCTAGGTTTATTGACTATTTACCTGGTAGCATTTATCAAAAGGTACAGAATATGAACAAGTTTATAAAGTTGTTCGCTGTATTTAGAGAGAAGCCAATATTAATATTTAAAAGGTGTGATGTGTACCATTATTGAAAGATTTTAAGAGGTTCTGTGTTTTAACTATCTTATCTGTCATGTCAAGATAAATTCACTTTTGTTTCCCCTTAAAAATACACACTGCTAGCAAGTGTATAGATGTAGTTGATGTGAAGCCTGGCCAAATGTTATATGTTGCAAAAGTAACATGGGATATAGAGGTACATTTCTGTATACTCTTACATTGGAAGTTCTTTGCCAATTTGTAGCAGTTTGTGCTGTAATGGCACATTAAGATATGACTTTGAATCTGTTGTGAAGTATAAATGCTGTAGTTACTGTAAGTTGGTGGACAAAACAGTCCATTTTGACACCCATACTTAGATAAAAAAAAATATACAATAGTGACAGATGTCAGTATTTAAAGAGCAGAAGCCTTTGAGGAAGATGATCAAATAGAAACCCATCAATTATTTTTTTACTTCAAATGCTTTAAGCTGATTTAAAGAAAAGCCCTTCTGTCTTTATGAACTCTAGAAACATTGTTACAACATTAATATATATATTTTCTGTCCATAGCCAGGACTACTTTTAAAAATGTTAAACATTTCATCATTTTGCAGAAAGGCAAAAATACATTTAATCATGACTATTCCAACCCCTGAAAATTAAGACAGGATTTATTCTGCACTCATTGTAAGCTGTAGTATTTAAACTCAAGTTTATTCATTTTATTTACAGGAGAATAACTTCACACCAAATACATAAAAGATTGGGTAAAACATTTTAAAAACAACATCAAAGTCCAAAACAAAATCCAAAGTGTACGAAATAAGGTTTTTCAAAGGTCACAAATTTTTCAAATTGAAATATCCAAAAGGAAAACATAGATGTTTAAAATGCATCAGAAACTTGGCAATAAGTAAATGTACTTTCTGTTCTCATTACATCGAACAGACTTCTCAAATGTCAATAAGAAACTTAAGGCTGTTTCATTTCAAAACTTATTTATAAGGCATTTTTATTATTCTTACACATAACTGGGATAAATGACAAAACAATGGTGTTTTCTGCACATTAAATTTAATACTTTGCTTGTACATTTGCTAGGAAAATCAGCAGAGCTCCTTGAGTCCACAGACGTCCTTGCAGTCAATTCCCTCGTTGCTTCATGAGAAAGTCTAGCTTTATTTTGCTGCATGGATCTGATTCCGGTTTAAAAGGGTTTTTTGAAACAACGATTACATTTAGAGTTTGGCCTACCAAGATTGTTTCCTTCGAAAGAGGTCTAGCAGTTAGAGTTCAGCTTAAACATACCACAAATGTAGTATCTCAGGGCTAAAGTCAGTATTAATAATGGTTATAGTAAAACGTGGCATTGTGCAACACTGTGAGTTCTTAGCTTATTCCTGTTAAAGGGTAACATCAGAGCTGTCCAGTGGCATTTGGAAAGGGTTTAATTCCAAATTGACTGCATGTTCCCCAGGTGCAAGATGGAGGCTTTCTCCTTTGTAGTGGGAGGTGCATAGTGACAGGCAGCTTTCAGTGTGGTATAGTCTCTTCTTTACTGGTCGAACATCATGGTGGAGTGTGGACGTAGCTGGTCAGGAAAAGAAGGTCTGTGCTCCCCACTGCAAACCTGGTAGTCAGCCTGCATCAGATTTCCTGAGTAGCCAACCCCTTCATCTGCACACAGAGAAGAGTGTGATCAGAACAGCTCCTGAAAGCAAGACTTGCCAGGAGGACTCAAACTCGGTAAGTGCCTTACAAAGCCTTTATGCATACAAATCATTTGAGTATTTCAAAACAGTATGAAATGTCTTGGGACTATAAGATGATTTCCGCAATGGGACAAAAGGTATCGGCTAAACTTATAGCAAAACAGACGCAAAGGAGGAGATGTTATATTTTTCTAATTCTGTGATGAGAGCAATGTGATACTGTGATGACATGGCACAACAGGTGCTCTGGTTTTTAACATACACATTGTCCTTCTTCCCACCAGCACTGCACTTCGAGAAGAGAAGTTGTTGTTCTTATGTAGATCGTGACTTGTGACCCTGTCATGACATGTCTGTGTGGCCAGTGACACACATCAGAATAATTGTGGATGTGAGATGTCTTTGTAAAGCCGTCTTAGAATTTGTTTTCTTGTGTTTATAGGTTTTGTGGGGGTGGTGTAGCATTCACTGCATCTGGTGGATTAAGTGTGAAGTTTATAGACCGCCCAATATAGCCGTGTTTGTTGTTGTTAATGAGCCTAATCATTTCATAATAGAATAAGCTGAAACACGTACTGTAAAAACTCATCCAGGGGCTGGTGAATTGTCTAGAGGTTTTGTTGTTGATAGAGCAATCATTCCACTGCTCCATGGTTTTCAGGTGATCTACTATCTGCAAAAATAAAAGCATTTCGTTCTTCTTCGTTAATCACTTCCCAATGTCCTTCTCTTCTCCTGCAGTTACTTATACCACTATTGCTGTACCATGTGATTCCATTATCCACTTAATGCTTAAAAAGTCTTCACTTCACTCAATCCAGTATTCAGTTACCACTTTTCTTTTTCAATGTTTTCAGGGTTAAGATTCTCTTTGAAAAGACTAAAACTTTTTTGTTTCAACGGAATTAATTACTGTTTGCATAATTAATTTCATAGATGAAAAGAAGTATTACAGACTCACCTTCAGTACAGCCTTTGTATGCTCATCTTCAACTAAGGTATTCTCTAGATTACCTGTTCAATATAAATTAAATATGTTAGGATTTGTCTCAATGGTTCAGTTGTACCCTGCTGTGATACTGTATAAAGAAAGCTTAATGGAACTGCATGTCTCCTTTTCCTTCTTTTCTGAAATGGCCAAGAAAAATCTTTAAAACACGCAGGGTTTTCTTACCGTTTTTACTGGAAGGACAGGAAATTCTCAGTGTGTTCAAGCGCTCGTCAGGCTCTGTCTTCATTGTGAGTGGTGGATAGTAGCTGTTGTGAAAGTTGCTTGGGCTGTGTCCAGTGACTCCCACACTATTATTATCCCTCATGTATTTTGAGATGCCTTCTGTAGGAATTTCAGGGGGAATTAGTTTTTGCACATACCATAATACTCAAGGAAATAAAACCTTAGAAAATGGTAGATTAGTGACACCTGAATGTAATTTGCATCTTACAGTGGAACTGAATTGAGGAAAACATTTAAGCTCCTTAGATGAAGTTTTCTTCCCTTGTTGTAGCAACCACACATGGAGGTGCATAATTACTGGAGGTGGAAAGTTGCATGAATTAAGATGCAATTGCGCTGTGCCTGAGAATTTTGAAAATGAACTTAAAAAATTACAGAGAACAAACTAAAATACTGATACTCCATGGAGCTAAAATTAAAATCGTTTTTAAATGACTTTTAAAGAAAAGTTCAATGTAGATTTATGTATAGCTTATCAAAGGTAAATCCAGTATAGAACAGCAATGACTGGAAAATAATTCTCGCTTTGTTGAAACCACGGCAAAGAAAATATTGTATATCAATAATTAACTTGCTGTTAACAACTAATCCATTTTAAATGTTTTAATTGAAAACAATGGGCACATTTCAGGCACATGGGGAAAATCTCCCCATAAAATAATTTGAAAACTCTGCTTTGTGTAAAAGAAAAGGTCTCACCGTTAAACCTCTCTGGGGGACAGCAGCTGTCTGACTGAGGGGTCTCTAAGAAGGAAAACAGGCCACTGTCTTCACATTTAATATCGCTGTGTACTTCTCTCAGACCTGGAACAGAACATGTCAGACTAAACATTCCTTTTACTACAGTTATTACAGCTTTTGATAGTGGAAAATGCTAGACATCTTCTCCACTGTTAAATGCAACTGAGAAATACATTGTAGCTGATGCTCCTTTCTGTTTAGTGTCCTTTATTTAGCTTTACGTAGTTTTACATCGGTGTGTTGAGAAATTCACGATTCAGGCATTAGCTGTTTGAACAGTGCCACTTGACAGCTGTAGAAAATGTGATGTTTATCTTGAGTAACTGAAATTTGCATTCAAAAGCAAAAGCTTTTCTCATTCTTTCATGTGCATCAGTGGGGTTAAAGCAGATTGAAATCTGATTGATATCATTTGATTATTGAACTAGTCTCTTTTCTGCCAGCTATGTTAATTACGTTTACTTGTACCATGTCTACCTGTTGTATTCTCAGACCTCAACAGTAGGGATTTCTGTTCTGGTGTACTCAGTGGCACACGCGGGTAATAAGGGTAAGTTTCTAACCAGGTCAGCTGGTTATTGTATATATTTTCTGTGGTCAATTGCATACAACCTTGAAACAGAAAGTACTCATCCTCAGTTTCTCATTTAAGAGGTCTCTAATGTGAGTTACACTATATCCTTTTAGCAAAATATATGTCGGAATCAGAAAGAAGAAAGATTTATAGGTAGGCAACCGCAGATTAGACTCCTTTTGTCTATCAAGCAAAGCAAATAGTTCATCACCATACAAGTTTGATTTTGGATTTAAAGAGTGAAAGAGAAAAAGTTCTAGGCCTGGGGGCATTCTAAACTAAATCTGTCTGAGAGGTGAGCTTTGTATCTTAATGATCCATGAACAAATTAGTCAATGACGTTATGTGCACTGAAGAGCAATTCATGAAAGATCTCATACAGTTAAAAAAAGTATCAGTAGTCAGACGGAGCAACGTCACAGAGCCACTCGCAACCCCTGAAGAACAGTTTGTGAATCACTTTACAATTCACTGAGTTTCATCAACATGAATAACAGTTCTACGTTGAATAAGAGTCAGTTCATCAAACATTCAAGATCTTCAAAGTTCTACTGATATACTGAATATATTTGATTTAACTTTGAAATGATTTTGTTCAAATTGTTAGTTTATTTGCATACAAGAATCACGTTTTGTGAGTTTGACAGTAAGCTCACCTTCATAACTGAATTTTTTTTAACCTTTACTTATCTATACAAGCAAGTTTGTTTTAAATTTATTAAACTGGATTGTTAAAAGAAGCCATGAAGACATCTGTTCTAATTCTTCATTTCATACCAATATTAGCTCTAATCCTGATTTTAGAGCTAAGGTAAGAAATTTACTTTCTTAAAATAAATCAATCCCGAAATACTGAACTACAACTCTGATTCTGAGTTTATCATTAACATTGTTAACATTAATTAGTAGCAGCAATATTGTCATTTAAGCTATTTAAAAAGTACTGTATTTGTCAGAATCATTTTTGATCATACCAGTTACATTAACTGTTCACTTTCTGAATTTGATGCACCGTATAGAAATATTAATATATAGTTGCACAGTTCATACTGTAGCTGTCGATAAATAGTCATGACTTAATCAAAGGATTGTTAATAACAGAGATGTAAATTTATAAACCATTCGATAATATTTTTCAAAACGGCTTATTAAAAAGTATCAAGTAGGTAGCTCCATTAGCATGCAAAAGCTGCAAAGGAACAGGTTAAGGTTTATTCCATGCTGAAAAGAGAAGAAAAGTAACATAACTTCTTCACACCTTCACACCTGAAGGAGGCTCCAGGCTTCTGTTTTCATGGAATACACCTTTCCTTGTTTCTTATTAAAAAATATATCAGGCATTTCCAACATCCACTCAAAAAGTGTCACGTAATTGTTTCAGGGCATTTCATGAAAAGTAATCATCATTTGCTTGAATACAAGCATGATAAAAAATGTCTAGTAGTCTGCTCAGTGCAACTCCTCTGAGTTGCTTCTGTTAACATACATGCAATCAAACATCTTTGTGCGCAACCCATTAATTCTCCCTACCTTGGGTACACAATTGATGCATAAATATTACCTATGAAATCCACATTACTGTACATCAGCTGGACACTAGAGCATGTCCTCTGAACCTTTTTCAAACTGACCTGCATTTATTTTTACTCTGTAGGTATGAGCAATGCGATTGAGTAAAAGTATAACCATCTACAGTATTATATTGAGAGATAATGACTACTGTTGCTGCTAAAGGATTCAGATGCATTTTCACATATCCAGCACTTACCTTTCCTCCGTTTGGGAGCTTTAATGGAAGGGAGCATCATGTACACTCTGTAGGCATTGTTCCCCTTCTTAATGCTCTTGTCGTGCAGTTCCTTCACGTCGGGCAGGGAATTTAGCGCGCATCTGAAGTTGGCTTTCCATGTCTTCGGATCAGGCTTGTCAACGCCAGGTTTGTATCTCCCTGTCAGAAAGACTCCAGCATTTGAGACAGAAAACCAGACTGAACTATGGTGGTGCTATCGGCCTGTTTTTCAAAGAGCACACATGAAGGAATTCTGTGTCCATTTTTATAACAGTTACAATATTGAAATAATATAATATACAATACTTTAATCAGACTTTGCTCCTTTTAAAAATCTTATTTTAGTGTAAAGTGGTGGGTTGATACGGAAGCTTATTAGCGAAAAAATCTTATTTATGAGAGAAAAGCATTGCATTTAAACACATTAATTAATTTGTGAACAATGTGGCCTACTATTTTAATACTGTATATTGCATTGTACTGTATACGCAATAATATTGTCCCGTACAAAGTAGCATTGACTTTTAACAACAGTACAATATTGTCACGCTCCTATTTTTTGGAAAAAAAGAATGTAAAGGAGCAAGTGTTCTGTCTTTTGTATACATGAAGTACAACAACGCGTCAGTAAGCATTCCCAAGTTAAACCCATATTGTTTTTGCGGATTCTGTAGAAATGACATGGCTTTCCGTATGTTCTTCTTGATTTGAAGCTGCAGAAACATGTCCTGTACAAAGGTTTTTGCCTACTCTTTAAACATTGAACGAAATCCATTCACAATGACTTGATAGTAAGACTTACACCAGCCTACTTTGCTTGGGACAGTATTATTGCGTATACAGTACAATGCAATATACAGTATTATTATAATACGCAACATTGTTAACAAATTACTTATTGTGTTTAAACACAATAATTTTCTTATTTAAACAAGATACTTTTCTTGTATAAATGAGATTATTTTTTTTTGCAGTTGCGCTAATAAGCTCAGTCGTATGGTCTTTCAATACATTTTGTGTAATGTTTACTTCATTTAACACATTTCTTCATTTATTTACAGAAGATGTAAATATCCTGCTTTGACAGTAATAGGACAACTAATGCTTAATAACACAACAATATGAATGTCACCTAGAAAATGTGAATTTGTGTGTTTGCCAGAGAGCTCTGTGTTGGCGATGTTCGGACTTGTTTCCTACCTGTGTGCATTGCCCAGTTTCGGAACAGAGTGGCGTCTTTATCTATATTCCAGCCATGACGAGCTGCATGTTTCCATGGAATCTGAAATACTCCAGCTGCCTAAAGCAAAGATGAAAGGCGCAGAAATAATTGGTCATTTTTTCAAGTTTCTGTTCAGTGCAAAGGTCATCTGGAAAAGGGTGATGAACTCACACAGAGATTAAAGTCTTTGTTCTGCTTTATCACTCACATCCTTTTTTCTTCTGCCCTTTTCTTTTGAAAATCTTCAATAGACAATCCTAAACATCTAAAATCCTTTACTTTCCATAGTTATTATACCAACTCATTATTAATACACCATGCTTTGCAATGAACTTTGTGATTTAAAAGACTTCCCTCACTTTTAAGATGAAGTGGGATTTTGTGAAACACGGTTTATCAGATCCTTTTAGATTCTTTGTTTGAATAATTCTCCTACGGTGTTGTTCCAAAGTTTTTTTAAATTATATTTTAATTGCATGGTTATAAAGAGAGATCTTACATTTTAAGAGGAATATATCCCATCCTAGAGGAATCAAAATATACTTTGTTTAAATTGTGTATTCTCCCCTTTCTGACAATGGTAATGTTACTTGTTACATAACTTCAAAGCATGTCCTGAATAAGCTAGTTTTACAGTTACTGATACCCTACACACGTTGTAGAATAATATAACACTCATTTTTAGTTTAAGAAATATTTTAAGGCACAATTTGTTTTCTGTTGACTTTCTTGCTTAGCAAAGCCTCGGCCAGCAGTTTGATCGATAAGGCTTCCAATAAGAACAATACCTCCAGGACACGATTAGTTGGGTCTGGATTGAATCCAAACTTCTACCTGGCAATTTTCAGACAATTGTAATTTGCCAACACAATTTCTTACACCCGAAGAAGGCTCCACAGCCGAAACGTTTTCTCTTTTCATTGTGGAATAAACCTTTACTTGTTTCTTTGCTATTTCTGATGTTGGCTGGCATGTTGGTGTGGTGGCGAGCATAGTTACCCTGCAGCCCTGGGGCTCAGGGATTCGATTCCCAGGGTGCTATCCGCATGGAGTTCATATGATCTCCCTGAATTCATGCAGGATTCTTCCGGGCCCTCCTTCCTAGGTTTCTTCCCACAGTCCTAAGACATACTGGCGGGTTTATTGGCTTCTGGGAAAATTGGCCCTGGTATGCGTGTGTGCCTGTCTGTGTTTGTGTCCGTCTGTCCTGTGAATCACTGGTGTCCCATCCAGGGTGTATCCTGCCTTGGTCCTGCTGCCTGTACTGAAGAAACTGATCAGAAGATGGATGGATTTTTGATGTTGGCTTTTTGTTTAACTATGGAATTTCCATACACTGCTTTGAAACCAACCATCAAAAAATGACTCTGTGACTTCCAGCGGACAGAGGTATTGAAATCCTTATCTCCTTTGTTTATCTTTTTGCGCTATAGATGAAGAGAAATGATTGTTAAGTAAACACGCTTCAATGAAAGAGGCGATTTCACACTGCAAATACTGATGAGGCCATCAAAAGCTCTGCCTTTTTTCAATGGATCATACTGATATGAAGTGATGTTATTTCAGTATCTCACCATATCAGTAGGATCCGTTTACAAAGGCAGTGGGTTTTTTCGCAGATCTTCGTTAGTTAAAAAAATACATTGATTGTTCAGTGCTCATCCACTGCTGCAATTCTGGATGCACAGTTGTTTTAGTTCATGAGCAGTTCTCGCAACTCCATTTTCTACATTCTAATGTAGCATCTCCCAGAGCTCTGTATTTAGATCCTATAAGGTAAGGGATTCTGAGTGTCTGACTCTTGCAGGTTTTGAGCAGTTCCAGGAACATGTGCAATGTACTCGTGATGTCTATGATGAAAGATCCATGGGGCGAGTTTTCCTGACAAGCAGAAAGGCCGGCCGGAGATCCTCTTCAGGTTCCTTGCCCGGAGCATCACACACGGTGATCTACCACTGATTAATGTTAAAGCCTGCTTACTTCATCAAGCCAGGTGACTCCAGGATAGGTCTGGGATCGGATCTGCTCCTCCAGCCAGGGCCGTAGGCGTAGGCGTCCTTGGTGCATGTCTAACTGCTTCAGGAAATCAGCTGCTGTCCCGGCAACAACAGGCTGTCCACAGTGAAGCGGAGAGGCTTCAGGCAGAGCTGGCGAACAAAACATTGGTTAAACTTGAACAGTGCCGAACCTCCCGCTTATTCAGTTCTGTAAGAACTGTGCTTTTAAACAAGATATACTGTATCAGCTTGTACGATCTCATTCAGTCTCTCCTGGATGAGATGCACCAAGGGGTTGGACGTTGTTCAGAGCTTGCCACACGAGAGTGAGTTACGCTGATTTTTTACCCTGATTGCAAAGTTTGCTGGCAGTCCGTTTTCAATAAGACACGAGGTGTAGCCTTGTGACCTCATAAGGACTGTAATCAATTAAGCTGAACGGTAGTTCATCCGCTTTAAATAATTTGAAGTTTGTATCAGAATAATGTGACAAAGTTTCGTTGGGACAAGCTGTTTAGACTCAGGAAAATACCATTTTAATCCCAACCCCTCTTGCCATACCAGCCCACCAATTTATTAAAATAAACACATTTGAATTAACATAACCATTCTGTATATTATTGCAGAGCAGCCTTTTAGTAGTGGCTTCAAGCAGCAATTTCATATGTGACCATTTACAGTACTTACCAGGGCACATAGACTTTCATTTCACCCGCTGATAGTCATCCCCACAAACAGGTTCCCACAGGACCAGGTTCCAGGCAACTAAGGCAGAAAATCAACCATACTAAATTATATATTTACGCAATGCTTGCCTTAAGCTCCTCCTTCACTTCCAAGAATTTCACACCCACATTTTAATTTGATCGCTTTTTTTCCATCTCACAGCTTGGCTCAGTCAACATAAGAAAAAAGAATGTCATCAAATCTGATAGTATACCATACACATGACTTCTAGTCCTATTCAAATTGACTGTGTGGGGGGGGGGCAGCTTGTGAGGGAGTAAATAGAATGCATTCTTGGTACTTTTTATAGAGTACTATACATTCTGGGTACTTTTACACAGTAATATACATTCTGGGTACTTTTGTATAGTACTGTACTTTCTTTGTACTTTTTATATACCACTGTACATTCCTGGGACTCTTTGTGCACTGTACACAGGTAATAAGTGGTGCTTTAATCTGCAAGGAGGAGGGACAAGTGAACTCGTTCTGTGCTTACAGACGCCGACGTATTATGCCTGTTGTAATTCCACTCGTCTATCAGCACTCAACCCCACGCGATGCCGTACCTTCCTTCAGCTTCAGCAGCAAGCCGCCCCTGCACCAGGCACCAGGCGCCAGGATGGACTCCCAAGAGCCAGGTTACAGTACGTACCACGGCCTTGCCCTTCTCCGAATGCTGCGGCAGGGCTTGACTAGTACAGTAACACTCTGCAGTCGGCCGCCAAAGTCGGCTCGGTCAACAGAAGAAAAGAAATGGTGAAAGCTTTGGAACATAACGTCACGTCTGATAGTGCTCTGTTCAGATGAGTTATAGCCATATTCAAATTCACCGTCTGGGGGGAGATACCCAGAAAGGGTGTTTTTTTCTTCTTTGCTATTAGATTTTTTTTTAAATAAGTTAACCGTACCAAAATCAAAGTTTAAAAAAATTGCAACTAAATCCATTTGAAGAAAATGTCTTTTGTTTTGATTGTTCGGTTGCAGTGAACTCTGTAACAGCTCAGTGTGCCTTTCCGTGTGAAGGGCTGTAGAACTGCCAGGCCCGTGTGCTCCAGCAGGGACGGAGCTGGTTCTGGCCATCCTGGTCCCTCCTCTGTTCGTGATGGCAGCGTGGGAGTCAAGGAGCTGTTTGGGACTTCACTGGTACTGTAACTAGTGTCCTGATGAAGCTGCCAATCCAGAATCAGAAAGAATTCAGCTTGAATTTATCTGGACTCCAGAGCACATAACTGAAAGCAACAAGAGTGTGGGCAAAATAACCCAAGGAGACTGAACTATATTGTGTGGGGGAAAAAAAAACATCTGAATCCACACTTTGCATAGCTGTGTGTTTAGGATATTGAGGATATTAAGAATGGTAACTGGGTTTTGATTTTCAACTGATGACAAGCAACATTTCAGTTCTGACCCTCAGTGTGTGACACATTACCAGAATGTCTCTGAAATGGCTTAATATGGTTGCCTGAAACTGAAAGTAATTGGACCATGAGTTCTGGGACTGCTCTTCTGCCATGTCCAGGCATAAATATGAGGACTGAATTCCCCAAGATCTCAGACTTTCCCAGCCTTGTGCTGCTCTGCTGCTTCTCCTCCTTCAGTTTCCACTGCTATTGTTATCTGCTTCCTTGTTCCTGTTGTCTGTTTAGCTTGTTACTGTTTGTTTTATGTAGCTCACATTTCAGTACAAGCTAGGACGAGCAACTATCCTTTTCCACTCTGCTTTAGACCATTAACCAGCTCTCAATCCTAATATATACATTACTTTGGATGACTAACGCCTTCAATATAAAAAAAATATTTTATCAGAAGCTTTTTGAACTATAAACATATCCGATAATGCCCTGTGTGTTTTCATCATTGCTATCTAAAGAGGTCTAACCTGCTTGTTAAGGAAGAAATGAGTTTTTAAAGCCATGTTAACTATAAACAAATATGTAAATACTTGTCAACATTCCATTTAGCTCATAGCTGTCACTTAATTTACCCAAAACTTCAGTTGAACAAATCCTCATTTAATCTTAATGGGAATCTTATTGGCAATGGGAAATTTGGCCAGGACGCCGGGGTTACACCCCTACTCTTTTCAAGAAATGCCCTGGGATTTTTTAATGACCACAGAGTGTCAGGACCTCAGTTTAACGCCTCATCCGAAAAACGGCACCGAGTACAGTATAGTGTCCCCGTCACTATACTGGGGCATTAGGACCCACATGGACTGCAGGGTGAGCGCCCCCTGCTGACCCCACTAACACCGCTTCCAGCAGCAACCTTGGTTTTTCCCAGGAGGTCTCCCATTCAGGTACTGACCAGGCTCACACCTGCTGAGCTTAAGTGGGCTGCCAGTTGTGAGTTGCAGGGTGATATGGCTGCTGGCATTGGCCCTTTCCAATCATGACCTCCTAATAATCCCCATCTATGAATTGGCTTCATCACTCTGCTCTCCTCCCCACTGATAGCTGGTGTGTGGTGGGCGTTCTGGCGCACTATGGCTGCCGTCGCATCATCCAGGTGGATGCTGCACATTGGTGGTGGTGGAGGGGAGTCCCCATTACCTGTAAAGCGCTTTGAGTGGAGTGTCCAGAAAAGCACTATATATAGTAAGTGTAAGCAATTATTATTATTATTATTATTATTTTAATCTCTTTGATTCACAACCTTTCTGCAACATTGTCTGCAGTAGGATTCAAGTTAGAGGTTCAATGCACTTAAAACAAGCTTGTCATTAAAAAACAATCTTTACGTTAATTTAATCAGTAAGATTTTTTAATAACAGCTCCTGAGGATCAAATCTTCAAAGATTCTTGGTTATGTAAAAGGTAAAACGAGTTCCTTAGTGACTTGACTTGTTAGCGATTGATGATAAAATCAAGATTTCATGATAAATGTACTGTATAATAATCACTTCCCGTTTTGTCAATGTCAACAGATCTGGTGCTGGTGATAAGTATTTCATTGGAACACAGATCAAACATAAACTCTTCAACGGTCCAGATGGGGTGTGTAAAGTTTTCAAATGGCTGTTATGATTTTATTAGTTTAAGAGTAGGATTGGATACTGTACTTGCTCTAATTCATGCTAAACTGGTTTGGTAATATAGTAATTGAATTTTAAACTGGCCAAACCATTCTTTAGGACTGCCTTCTGATTTCTGGACAATTTAGAATATACACTGCTGTGCACACAGTATAGTACTATATACTGTATGTGCTACTGTATATACTTAGACATCTTAAAAACAACCAGGAGGTACTGGTTGACCATATAACTGTTATGGTCAGCGGCAATTTAATCAAAACCTTCCCTAATGTTTCCTACTCTTGTTACAACTTTGCCTTCTAGTAACAGAACTTAGTTTGGGTGAGAAGAAACCAAGTTTGTCATTAAGTGATCTTTAATTCACATTGATCAGAATCTTCAGAGACTTGATCACATTTGTAGAGACATATTGCAGAAGATAATGTGAAAGGTCATCTTTTCATACTGTCGACCTCCAGCAAAAATTTAAAAATGTTAAAATGTATACCTTCCCAGCTATTAGATATTTCCCAGCTTTTCAGACTACATAATTCCACACACTAAATTATGACTAGAGATATTATCATGGGGAAATAAAATCTATTTTAAATCAAATATTTAATGTTTATAATCAGTAAAGAAACTGTAGTATTAGTTACTTTCTAAATTAATTTATGATTCACAGTGATAATCTTATCATGTTCATAACACAGAGGAAATTAATTATGCTATTTTAGGAAATGTAAGCTAAATATGTAGTCGAAATTGTTCAATGCTGTTTACCTTTTAAAGTGAACTGTAGGACACTTCATGCAGGTAGAGGGGAATACAAGTGCTGAAACATGATATGTGTGTTTCTTTGCACTTTGGTGTTTCTTTCTGTTCATGGGTTCCCCTTTTTGTACTAGGGCACTGATGTCCTATATCCTATTGTGCTGCGTCTAATGATGTGTGAAGTGTCAGATTTCCTTACATCTGGCACTCCAGCAGTTAGCAAAAGCCCGACATGTTCGCACATGAGGATGCTGTTGTACAAGTAAATCATGTGAGCACGAGCACGCTGAACTGGTACAACGAGGCATTTCACAAGTATCATTCTTCTTTTGCTGGTACTCATTGTTCAGGCTCCTACAGAAGCTTTCTGCCTCCTGAAGTGCTCTCACAGCTCGGTTTGAACAGAGGGAGGAATGCTGAGAACACTGCTTTCATCCAAGGTTCTAGCATCGCTGATTCAGGGTTGGTTTAAACTGGCCTGGGCTGTGCATTCCCTTATGCTGTTACATGCTTATCCAAACAGACCTTCCCAGCAAATCGGCTTGCAAAATCCGGCAATCTGTTGTACTACACTGCAAAATACACGTCAGTCAAGTACTATGGCCTTACGGAACAAAATATCCAGTGAAGTGTATTTTCCTAGCACTTCTACTCATAGGGATGTTTGGGAAGGATCAGGATTTCCTGTATCCAGACAAAGAGCCATGTAATACTGTGTTTGACTGCATTGAAGGAGCGGCAACCCTGCAGGTGGTAAGGTTGCATAAAGGATGGTATTGAGTCCTGGTTTCAATTTTGGCCTCAGGAATTTGGGTGGGGTTGCCATGTTCCCCCTGTGTTCGTCTGTGTGTTTATTTTTTCATTGAGTGTGATGGTTTCTTCTGCCCTCCAAAAGACATGCTGGCTAGGTCTGATCCGCTGATTTTCTCTTTCTCCATGGACCACAAGGACAGAAGTCAGGGGCAGTCCGGAGGAAGCCAGCTGTGTGCTCTCAGCCAGTGTGAGTCTCCAGTTGGCCATGGACCTCTCCTATATGAGTGGCCTATTCATAATGCATACAGTAGAACCTTTGCACAGTAGTATGCTTTAGTGTAAATCATTGTGCACTGAGAGATGAATAGTGGCATACCTTGCTGGACCACTGGTTAATGAAATCTGTGATTGAAGTCTAGCCTGCTGAGTTAACAGAAAGGCCTTGCCACACCTACATGTATCTACATTTGATCTAAGAAAGACTGTTAAAGTTAGCTGAACTGAGAGGTTAATTTATTAGATTACATTAAAAATGATGTGCTCAGGTAGCAGGCTCAGAGTATACTACTTTTCATCTGCTTAAGGCTGGGTTGCTTCAGTGAGATTAAATATGAAGGAAAGGAGAAGGTTATAGAAGAGCAGTATAACAGCTTGTTAAGAAGCCTATAACCTCTGTAACCTTGCATGTTAAACGTTTGTAGTCCCTCTAAGTCCCTAGAGGGAAAAAAGAGACTACATTTCCCAACACATCAAATGCAAAGACAATAGGTGACTAGTTGAAACCCTGAGTTATGAAGCAAAGTTGTTTTGGATTAAGGTCGTATCTCAGGTTAAAAAAGGCTCTTTCAAAAACAGCTTTATTTTGTTTTACTTTTTTAGGGATAGGGATGTATTTTGTATTTTTATTGTAAAGGAGATTGATGGTTGGAAGAGTGACTGGTGAGGAAAATGTGGAAAATCTGAACAAGATTTGAGAAAACGTAAAGACTGTGAAGGGTCGATTTGATTGCTGAAAAGCTGATTAAAACATTAAAGATAGGTCTGAGAACTGAATGTGTAGCAAGGTCTCTGAACCAGGAAAACAGTACACGTTTTTGCTCATCTAGTTTGTTTGATTTTGACAAAGTAATTGCTCCAGGATCCCTTCCAATTATCTCTTGAAAGAAACCAGGATTTTAGCTTTAACAACATGGTAAACAAAATGTAGCCTTTTCCAGCTTTTACTGTAAACTAACTCCTGTTCTGTTTTAATTGCAGCACTTCCTTACAACTTCAACTTGTCTGCTGGTTTGAGTTTGATTCTGAAGCTGTATATTTGTTGACCTTGTCTGTTCCTATGAGGATGGTGAATAATTGAATCAGGTTCCCTTAGTTTTCTCTGTCCAAGACTAAAAAGCTTCAATTTTTCTGGCATGTGCAGAACTTTCCTTTGAGTTGGACAATATTTCTTTGTTCTTCCAACTGTCAAAGTGCTCTTCTGAATTTCAGAGTAATAATATATAGTAATAATGTTTTTTAGTTAGGTGATCACTACTGGCCACAATATTTTAACCGTAGTCTTGTGAGAAATTGAAGAATTTCCTAATTGAAATGATATAATTGCTTCACCAGTTGCTAGAAGAGTGATATCTGTACAAAATGGCAGTACCTTATGTCACTTCAAGCTTGGGAGTTCCCATTTTAGGTACAGGTAGTGAACAAGTGAAAGGTTTACCTGTATGAAACACTTTTCACTTTTTCATATTAAGTGCTATCTGCAATTTGTTTGTGGTTTCTACAGTGTTTGTTAACCCTTCTAGTTTGGCATCGCCTATAGGTTTGATACCAAACCATGTTAAACATATGCACAGAAACTGCAAAGCCTACTTCCGGAATATCTTGTTTTTCTACTTCAGTATTATGAATCTTGAACCATTAAATGTTGAGAGTACTTCTGTAAATAAAAATATAAAATGAATAAACCACAGTACCTTGCATTTAAACAGCTCCTTACGTTAGCAAATATAATGGAGCAGAGGAAGCTGTAACTTTACTATTTACTTTAACAAAACAATGTAAAAAGGAGTTCCAGTAAGGTGTAATAACGACTTGTAAATGGTTTTGAAAAGAACGTATACTGTTCAACAGTTGCCCGCATGATCATGTGTCTATATTGTTCCCCCTGTCTTTGGATATCCAAAGAAACCAAAGAACCAGTTTAAGGATATCTGGTCTTGTACAAACATGGCATGAAGTTAGGTAAAATCTCCTGTTATTACATATGAACTTGTGTGTAACATGTATAACACACTTGAAGAGTAGTTAGGAAACTGCATAGGGCTCTCTCTGCTGCATTTAAACAAGTAAACACCAGGCTTCAAGCTAGCAACCTCAGCCCCTGAGTGCTGAAGATATTGTATGTGGGAGGACGATATACAGTACTGTACCTACAGTACTGTGGATATTTGGGCAGGTGGCAGGGAGACTCTCACTCAGTCATACAAATTCGCTCTCATGATCCAAGTCAGTTGTGCCACTAATTAGAAAATTGTGCTTGGCAACCTTTGGCTCCGTTTCATCCTGCTCTACTCTTCTTCCATCCAAGACCACATCAGCCAGACTGAACTGCAAATAAGCTATCATGAATGTCAAATGTCGAGACCCTGCTGTATTAGACAATGTATTACTATGAAAAGCTCCTGTTACCTTATGTTACCTTATGTATTGACGTTTTAATGAGAACTGGTTGGTCCTTACAGGTCTTACTGTTACCATTTTTAATGAACTCAAATACCATTACTTGTACCTCAGTTTCCCCACCAAATCGGAGAACTCGGCAAGCAGCAGCTCGAACACCACACATCACGAAGCGAATTTCAAACCACATCTCAAAGGTGGAGGGAGGTTCTTGATCCAACTGTCAACCCTCTCGCATAGGAGAAGAGTAGAGCAGTCATTACAACAGTCGCTTACTGTTTTATTACTGAAATTAAGAGATTTATCAATATGATTAGTCCTCACTTCAATTTTAAGGAATTAAATATCTTTCTAAGAACTCGGTGACTGATCCTTATGTGTTACTGGAGCTGCTTCTTTTGCACGCAGGCCGTTTAAGCTTCGATTCCTTTTACATATGAAGGTTTGTATTTACACTCCTGCCGAGTAATACCTTGCATTTTCACCCATGATGCATTAGCATGAATAACACCAGCAACCTAACATGTGCCTGACAGTTGAAATGGCAATCACATTTCTAAACTAAAAAGTCAGTTACAAATGAAAGAAATGTATGTACAGTATTAATGGTGCAGGTACTGTAAAGCCCACTTAAGATGGCAAATGCATCCTAAAGTGGTGAAATACATCACTGAAAACACTATGAAGCAGGCAATGCTTTAAAAAAATAAATCATTCTGCGGTTTCATTTTCCATGTAAAGTTACAACACTTAACACGCCATCTGTGTAATTTGCTTCACAAAAGTGCCTCTTAGTCTTTTTTGTCTGCTTTGCGTGCAGTGTTCTCCTGCTCCGCAATGGAGGAAGTGGGCACAGGGGCCTTCACAGCACTGGGCACCACGAAGACGGAGCGCTCCTGCTGGGATGCCAGCAGGTCGATCACCCTGTCCTGGAGACAGTTGGTGGCGTCGATGCTCTCTGTGATCTTGTGATGGATGCCCACGAGCTCCTCGGCCAGGTCCGACACGCTCTCGTTCTTTTCCGCGAGGCAGGAGGCAATGCGGGCGATGTTCTTGTTGGTTTCGCACATCTCCCTGTAGATCAGTCTGTTCTGCCTGGTGAGGGTGCGGAAGCCGTCCTTGAGAGCGGCGGTGTGCTCCCGGTGAGCCCTCAGGAGCTGCTGCTCGAAGGACCCCAGTGGCACAGTCTTGTTACAGCTCGTCCCACTCCAGGCTTTCAAATGCCCCCTCAGTGCAGGATAGGAGCCCTGCGCTGTCTCCCTGGTGGGAGAGCCCTCGCTTGCTATAGCCTCCACTTTGCTGCGAAATGCATATCTGCTGCGCACCTGGTTAACAATGTTGATGTCGCTGTTTGAAAAGGGTATGGGAGTAGGTTCTGTGTAGGTGTGCTGTATCTGGACTACAGGAGTGGCAGAAGATTCCTCACGGTGATGAGCCTTTGTTGTGACTTGTTGGAGATCAGCAGGCTGTTGGCAATTTTCTCGTGATGCTGTATCCATGACCGTGACAAGGAAAGAGTCTGTAAGGAAAAGTTAAGAGCACATGAAACAAAACCACTCCGTTACGCTGACGTATGTTTAACCAGTTTAATTGCTAAAGCAATACATCATTAATAATACTATAAAAAACAGGTTTAAAAAAAAGCTTGTTTTTTCTCGGCTCTACTGAAAAATTACATTTTGGTGGTTCCAAAAAAGTGCTAACAATTGTGCCATATCATAATAATTTAAATGTAACTTTTCTTCAGATATATCACTGTTTGGAAACCTGGTTATCTTGTTTCTAATCTTTACTGGCGGATAGCTGGGAATGGAAACCCAGCTTTTACGTTTAATCCAAGCACTAGCTTGGAGGCCATGTGGAAAAAGATCACGCCTTGCAAAGCTCAGCAATTGAAAACATTTGAATCTTGACCATTTCCCTAACTTACCAGAGAATTGTTAGATGTGAAAAGCATAACGCTACCTTCGGGAAGGCTGCTCAGTGTTGAGTCCTGCTCCTCATCTTTGACAACAGTGTGGATATTCAAGGAGTCGTACACTCTCTGCTCCATGGAGGTCAGGTAAAGGGAGGAAGAAGGACTGTTTCGAGGCATGTGACGTCGTGCCTCTATAACCTTGGCTTTGGTTCGACGTTTCAGGTCCTGCCAGCGCCTTTTGACCTCGTTTATTGAGCGCTGAATGCCCGAAGTGGCGCACACCCTCTCTGTAATGTCGAACCAGATCTTGTACTTCTCCCGCGTTGTCAGGCGGTTTCCCTGCAAGCCGAACAGCACGTCTTCCCTTTGGGTCACTTCTTCGATTAAGACGTCCAACTCTGCATCTGTGAATTTGTGCTTCCTCATGCGTTCCCTTGGCTGTGTCATGTCTTCTACTTGTATCTCCAGTTTTCTGTCAACAGAATAAGACATAAGACCACAGGACCAGCATGTCAAAATATTTTATAATGGAAGTTAAGGAAATGATAACGTGCTAGCATTAAATCATTCAGATTTCCACCTGCTCTGCCTTATACTTTTATAACAGGAACAATACTTAGTCTTGCGTAGTACGGTCAGTCTAAGAGTGAAACTCCGGTCATGCCTTTTTGTATTTTTTAGTTATCTGGCAGGTGGTGTGCAGCTACAGTAGCTCGGCCTACAGCTGCAGCAGCAGCAGCAAGTGCTAACAAGCAGTACAGAAAACAGCAGTTACCATTCTGCAATCTGTTCTTCCTGTGGACGTAACCATGACAACACACTAAAATGCTGAGCACAGAAATAAAAGGAAAGGAAACCACCTCAGCAAAAAGAACAGGATTAAGAAAACAAAATAGAACCAGTGCACCCGAAGTATACCGGATAAAGGATGGTAGCTCGACTGCTTGCTTGTTTTTGCGTTCTAAGCATAAGCACTCTGCAGACCTCTCCCCCTGGGGAACAGAGCGTGTTGACTGAGCAGTGCTGCAGTGGCAAACAGCACCTTCAGGAGGAAACAGCACTGAATACAGATGTATGCGCTGACACGCGGACGCCAGCTACCGTAAGCTATTCTGTGGTCATTTCCCCCCTGCCAGCATCACCACAAAGAGACTAATTTAGAATGACACAAACTTCACTAATATGTCACTGCCAGTCAGTACCAATGGGTAGAAATGGTGTTTTATGACTGTAACAGAAAAGATGAGGGAATTACCTTTAAATGTGTGTGTGTTTGATTATTTGTTAACTTAACACTGCGCCTCAACAACGATGCCATTTTCACAAGTATAGTGTGACTGTGTATATTATCAGTATTACCATCTCTCAGCTTAAATATTTATTCTCCTCTGTGGTTACACGGGTCACATACAGTACAACACCAAAAGAAGGCTTCACAATTGAGCCTTACACTTTCCTTCTGTTTTTCAGCATGGAAATATTGTCTCCCTTTTCCTTTACAGCTTACAAGTAGACACAGTTCCTCAATCAGATCTCTTCATAAATATTTAGATATAATTCATACTGATTTATACTTTATCTTGCTTTCATCACTGTGGCATTCATCAAGGAAATGAACTGCATTTTTGTCACAAAATGAAAAAAAAACAAGCTAAATGTAAAAAACAGAACTGAACATGTGTACTGTATATCACTCCGGAAACATATCCTGCACATTCTGCTACAGGAGCTGATCACTCTTCCCATAACTGGTTAAGGCTACTCTGCTGACTGATGCACTCCAAGATTTGAGACATGAATGCAGGTCTATGGATTATGTAGCAGGCAGCAAGTACCCCAGTGCACCTGTTCCAGAAATGAGAGATTTCATAGAGAGCTATAGCAGTAATTCCCAACTCTGGTCCTGAAGCAGTGAATACTGTCTTATGGTTTTGGCTCCAGCTGAGTTCTGAATCACAGGTTCATTGATTATTTTTTATGTGGCGTATGCTTGTAAATTTGCTTTCAGCTCTTAAAAACAGATTTCTAACTGGTATAAACCCATTACGAATTTTTATGATTCTCTTTTTTTAAATTTGCTTTTTAGTTTTAACTTATTTTTAAACAACTGAATTTCTTGGCCATCAAAGCCTTCTAAACTATCTGATAAGAGACCATGTTTAAGTCAACCCAGTTTCATGATTCAGAAAATGTATGCATAGTGAATCCTACACGTATTCTAAAGACATCTAAAATTTACAGCATTACAAATGAATGATCTCTTTTCCATGGAAATTACAATTCACATTCGGAGTATATTACACAGAAAGAGTTTAATAATTATTCTAGAGGCATATTTGGCATAATTGTACTGTTCTGCTCCAAAGGAAACTTAGAAACTTAATGTCACTAGAAAGATTGTAATGTACACATCTATTTAACTATCTTGTCTATCTGAATATCCTAGCTAAAAATAAATAACCCTAAATAGTAGCTTAAGTGTTCCAAAGTATGGTAGGCCATACTGTTATTTCGTTCCAGAATACTTTAATTTCATAGTCCCATAAATTTACCTGAAGAGTTGTTTACTAACACATTTGAAAGTGCTGTAACAAACTCCTTTTCACTGGTTTTTTTTTCCAGTATTGCAGCTGCTTAACATACTTTCTGCAGGGAAATGTTTGAAGATAAAGCTATTTTTAAACCCATCTGGGATACTGCTTTGTGCTGTTTCTACCTAGAGGCGCTGTTTTTCTGCTGCAGCCATGACTGGCACACTGAAAAGGGATCCACGTCTGATCAGTCTCCCGACTACAGGACACGCAGCGCTGTTTGCTTCCTGAAACGCAGAATTAAGGGGGGGGGAAATTAAGCAAAAGTTTCATTCCTCAAACATACACATGAAATGTATTTAATCAATAAACATTTATTTTACCTGTCTGCAGCAGGTTCGTATGTGTGTGTTGTTTTATTCCGTCTGGTCTTCAGAATTTTTTTCTTACTTTTTGAGTGTTACCATGGTGACCTGCACAGGAAGAACAAATTGCGCTGCAGTGTGGTAAGTAGCGATGGGACTTTCTGAATTGCCGCAGCGCTGCGCAGAGCAACCATCACATAGCCTGCGAATTCAGTGGATTCGAGAGGTAAGAGGGGACAAATGACTCAAAACGACTTCTTCCGTCACACGTATCCGCGGGGGTTATCTTTGTATGAAGTTATGGCGCTCCCTGATTTGTCTTATTGTTTGTTTCGTCTGTTCAAGCGCAGTACGCTATTTGCGTTAAATTGCTGCTGCCGCTAAGAAAGCCACCCTTGTAGCTACAGTTGAGACAGCTGTTTATTGTTTTGTGCAAGGCGCTATGAAAGGGAATTCTTCTTAGCTGAAATATCGTTTTGTGCTATGCCCCCACACCTCCCCAAAAACCTTAAAATAATCAATAATTTAATTGTTGAATTCCAGATTGAAAATGTTTTGAACTATTAGCTTTCATTATGAATTCAAAAAACCAGCGTTATTTGTAAACTATGCACTTTGTGTCTGTATTAGACATTATTATAGATATTTGTATAGGGAGTGATATAAGGCTGCATTTATTCTCCTTTGACCCAAAAAACTATCATCAGAAATCATGCTTTATGTGATAGGCCTATAGAAAGGCTATATGTCAGTTATATTTTTAAAGTTATACATTTAAAAAAAATGCGTCAGTTGGCATTTTTAAGCATGCAGGTATAACCGTACTTCGTAAAAGATTATTTGCGCATACAATTATAGATAAGAGGGTCACTAGTTTTATACTGGCAGTAACTTGTTAGGGCTGAACTTTGCATTTACGTTCTGTAGTTTTTTTTGGCGCTGGGGAAAAAGGGAAGTAAATAGAGATGGACCGAAATTTGCGTTATTTCACTTTCAGATTTGTATTAGTATTCATAGATGGTAGTGCCAATAAATATCATCAGTTATTTCACATGGGCAGCTGAAAGTTATATTTATATTGCAGATTTATTGAAATAACTTTTATTTATATTATCCTGTTTTTGTTGTTAGTATCCTACACTAATCTGTACATACTTTGATTTTGTAGTTCTGAGATATTGCTCACGTTATTTGCAAAACGTTATCCAGTGTCTTATTAAACAGATATTTAGAATTAGAACCAAGTTTTGTGGATCAGTTGTAAACAGACTTGAAAGACTGATTTCTTGGTCTCCATTTCAGACTTGGAATAGGGTCAGTTGCACCCAAAACTGGAGATGCAGCCGAGAGAAAGAATGCGCAAACATAAATTCACAGAAGCTGAATTAGCCATCTTAATCGAAGAGGTGACACATAAAGAAGACATGTTATTTGGCCTGCAGGGTAATGGCATGACAACCTATGAGAAAAATAAGCTCTGGGTTGACATCGCGCACAGGCTGTACGCAGTGTCTGGCATGCAGCGCACGATTAGCGAGATAAAAAGGAGGTGGCAAGACCTGAAGCGAAGAACCAAGCAGAAAGTTGAAGACGCAAAGCTTCACATTGCCAGGAACAGCCCCACCTCATCTTTGTACCTCACAGCCATGGAACAGAAAGTGTACGGCTCTCTCAATATCCACACCATTGTGAAACAAGAAGATATCGCACAGCCACCTCTTCAGGAAGGTAACCTTAAACTATAGTCACCGAGTGTAAAAAAAACCCTACTAACTTGAATTACCAAAAAAAAATATCAGCACCTCTAAATACAAATTTCCTTGCTCGATATTTGAGAGAGAGAGCCAGTTTTTAGCTGGAGGAGGTTTAACTGTAGTTAGTTTTCCTAACTATAACTGCTTATAGTTAAAACCGATTGCCCGTTAAAACTGCTGCCTTCTAAAACTGATTCCTTTCTCTCTGTGTGCCTGTCTGTGTTGTGGTGCTAAAGTTTTTTTTTTCCCTCAGTGCATAATGGTTTATTTATACATCCATTTTCTACACTGCTTTATCCAGTAAGGAGTCGTGAGGGGAGCCAGAGCCTAATCTGGCAAGAAACGGGCGCAAGACAGGATACACCCTGGACAGGACGGCAGTTCATCACAGGGCACGCACAGACACACACACTCATACCGGTGCCCAATTTCCCAGAAGCCTGTTAACCTGCCAGCATATCTTTGAACTGTGGGAGGAAACCCATAAGAACATGGGGAGAATATTCAAACTCCGCCCAGATAGCACCCCAGCAATTGGTCCCAGGGCCCATGAACTGTGGGGCAGCAATGCTAACACTGTGCCGCTCGCATAAGGGTTTATTTGGTCTACAGATTTTTTTATTACATCAGTTTAGGATGTGTAGTTTTTTTACTTGCAGTAACGCTGTGCATCATGTTGTTGTACAAGGATAACTGCTGTTACTTCCCAAACTATGTGATAACAATAAATCATCATTTTATATTTTACAAGGCTTTTGTAACTTGTTTATTGCATTCTGTATTTTTAGAGACTTGTCATGCTAGAGACACTGGCTCCTCAGAATACTATGAAGAAGAGTCTTCAGAACAGAAGGCTTCGGGCTTACAGACTCATACCTGTCAAGACCCTTCAGGTGCCCTTCAGACGCCCCCACACACCTACGCAGAACAGTCCAGCTCCAGCCCATTTGGAAACCAAGAAATTTCACCAGAAGGAAGCAGCACTTTTTCACGTCGGAACAAAGTAGAACCTGCAGCAAGCGAGGGCTCTCCCGCCAGAGGGACAGCGCAGGGCTCCTATCCTGCACTGAGGGGGCATTTGAAAGCCTGGAGTGGGACGAGCTGTAACAAGACTGTGCCACTGGGGTCCTTCGAGCAGCAGCTCCTGAGGGTTCACCGGGAGCACACCGCCGCTCTCAAGGACGGCTTCCGCACCCTCACCAGGCAGAACAGACTGATCTACAGGGAGATGTGCGAAACCAACAAGAACATCGCCCGCATTGCCTCCTGCCTCGCGGAAAAGAACGAGAGCGTGTCGGACCTGGCCGAGGAGCTCGTGGGCATCCATCACAAGATCACGGAGAGCATCGACGCCACCAACTGTCTCCAGGACAGGGTGATCGACCTGCTGGCATCCCAGCAGGAGCGCTCCGTCTTCGTGGTGCCCAGTGCTGTGAAGGCCCCTGTGCCCACTTCCTCCATTGCGGAGCAGGAGAACACTGCACGCAGAGAGGAAACAATGTGATTGAACTAATGGAGTAGCAGTTTACTCCACGTATATGTTAGTCATCATGTTACCTTGTTTCTTGTGTTGGAGAAAATCCTTCTCTGTATTTTAGGGACCGTAGCTTATGAGTTTTTGAGCCAGGCTTTAATACACTAGAACCTCCAGCCCCTCCACTGTTATTTCCCAGTTTTGAAAAGTCACATCTTTGTTGTTTTTTCAATGAAAAGGTATTTATTGGAAGGATGTTTGGCTAGATGTGGGAAGGACAGCCTTATCCAGTTTATCACCCTTAGCTGTAATTTATAAAAGCATTGCTTTAGGATATTTCAGCTAGCTGTTTAGAGAAAAAAAGCTTAAAAATATAAGAAATAGTTTTCTTTTTTAGGAAGCTTCCATACAGATCTCTTAAACTTCTTTACATGGTTTAAAATGACTATACTCAATAAACCCAGCTAATGAATAATTCATGTAGTACAGTCATAAAACTTTACTATAAAGTGAAGCATGCATGCTTTTCACATTTTTGAAAATATTTTTAAGTTTGATGCATAAAGTAACTTAATAGGTATGTGTTTATGTAAGATTTATCATAGACCTCCTGATTATTTAAAAGCCTTTCTGCTGCTGCACTGACATTTTGTGCTTTTTGTAGTCTGTTTGGCACTTATTTCCATGGTTTGGAAGAAAGGAAAAGAAATGCAAGATTTTACTTTTACCAAAATATAAAATGTGTCACTTTCTATGTGCTTAATAATGGGACCAGAAGATAAGGTAAGAAGTAAGAACAGGAGTTCATGTGTTCATGCTTCATCTGTGGATTAACTGTGCAGTAGTGAGTAGGTCCACTTCTTCCAGCAGTTGTTATGGCTCAGGACCTGTTGGTAACATTTGTCAATACAGTACAGTATATGCAATATGGTATATCCAGATAACAATAATAGACCTTATGGATTATGTTGTGTAACAACTTTAAGGAACAATGTTGTCATTCAAGTAAAAGACATAAAATGATATTTTTTTGTTCAAAGTTCCCATCCATATCCAGTGTAACTGTTGTAAGGCCAGTCAATATACGGTATGAACGACATTAAGAAAATTGCAATTTTCTTCAATCACCATGTTGATCAATTAGAGAATTATAAATAAACAGTATTTTCATGATCTCATGGACATATATATGTAGATGTTTATAGTCTACTAATTTCATTACTTGTAAATATTTTTATAACAAGTTCTTAAGAATAAATGAATTCAGAAATTAAAAATTGACATTTTTTTCAAAATGACGCATTATAATTGGTATTGTAATTAATTGTCTGTTGTTTTTCGTGATAAAACAAGCAGCAATGCCAAACTAAACAAGGATGGGCTTGGTCAGTACTGGGGGAGGAAACCTCAAGGAAAGCCAGGCTGCTACTGTATGTGAGGACCAGGAAGTTGATCTTTCCCCTCTGGGCCATCTATCCGTTTCTTACCACTTCATACAATTTAGGGTCATGGGAATGCCAGAGCCTATCCCAGCAAGCAACTTTCACAAGGTGGGAATGGTATGCCAGTCCATCACAGAGCACACACAGACACACCAGGGCCAATTTTCCCAGATGACAATTAAGCTATCAGTATGTTTTTGGACTTGGGATAAACATACAGTACAACATACAGTACAAACTCCATGTTCTCAGCACCCATCCAGAATTGGGCCAAGGGCCCCAGCGCTGTGAGGTAGCAATGCTAACTCTGTGCCACAGTGCTCCCCATCCCTCTGGACCACATTTACCAAAATGCAGTGCTCCAGGAAAATGACAGGGCACTGTCCTGTGGGATGTGCCATTAAGTTAATGTCCTGACTTATAGATGATTAAAGGTCCCATAAGTTTTAGTTTTACCCTAACACCCTGGCTAAATTGCATTTTGAATTTGAACAATCAGACCTGCTTAAATTTCCACCTAAAATTCAACCGGTGAGGTAATATCTGATTTCTGTCTGATCTGCAACACTCCACTCAAAAC